TTTTCAGTGAGTCAGATCAGTCGGCTCAGGTCGGAAAGAAGAGTCGGCTCTTTCGCCTACCAAATGGATCTACATTCTGTAGCACCCCCCACCCCGCCCCAAAATTAACCAAGTTATCAACAAACAGAGGTAAACAAAGGCAAGAATTACAAAAACAAAACCAGAACCAAAATAACACAACGTGCATCATGTTTGGGGATAACGAGAGGAAGAGGGAATATTCCAAAGAGGTCCAGGAGGGGGGTCCTGTGATTTTCAGCTACAGCATTATAAGAGGTAAGCACTGTCTTATTTAAAAAACAGAAGAAAAAAAAACAAACAAAAAAAACGTTAATAAAAAAATTTAAAATGGTCTTTTCAATGCAAATGAGGGAACATGTATGCGACTCACGTCATTTAAACTTATATTTTATGTTTTTTTTTCCCCAATATGTTAAACTCAGCATATAAATAAAAAGTGTATTTAAGTTTGCTCCCTGTAGACTTTTCTAGCATCTACTTATTTAACCTTATTTTCACTTTGAAAATCAACAGAACATGTAATTTGACCAGGGTGCCCAAACTGTGTGAATAAAAACAGAAAACACATTCTAAAAATTCACTAGTTTAAAGTTTAACTGTCATTTTTTCCAGACATTGATCATAATGATTGATGCTGCATTGAGTAATTTTCCTCTACAGCGGAAGCCTACATGACAAATTGGCCCCTAAAACAGGAAAGCTATGTCTTCTGTTCATCTGTGTTAATGCATGTTTATGATAGGAAAAAGCAGTTACAAACGCAGTCTAACTCTGAGTATATGTCACTAGCTGTTCCTACACATGCAGGAGGAAACTGAAGAGGAAACAAGTCTCGTGGTGTTGCTGAAAGCTTCATAAGCTTTGTGAAAAGCGTTACTATTGTGGTAAAGTAAGCTACACATTAGTGATGAGGATGGAAGACATGATGCCAATGTGTTAAATACACTGATTATTTAGATAACAAAAACACAACCCAGTTCTTTCAAATTTGCAAGTTCTCTATGGTTTAAAGAGAAATTTCACCGATTTTGGAAAATATTTCTATAATTTGGTAGTTGTGATGTGAGCAAAGTCATTCAGAGTGGTATTATGTGAAGTAGTTTATTGTAGAAAAATAGTAGTAAATATTTTTACTATAAAAAATGACAAGTGAATGAAATGTTGAAAATGATAAAACAAATCATTTTTTTTTAAAAATATGTGTTAGGCCAAACCTTAATCACAAAACTATCATAAAGCAATGTCTCAGCCATCACTAAACTCTTCAGATATCTGGTTCCGATCTCCACAACTGCGAACAATTCTGGCTCTAAAACAGAGCATTTCACATCAAAACTCTGGATGACTCTGTTAACACCTTAACAATTAAATTTTATGCAACTGGGGGAATTCCCCTTCAAATCATAATTTCAAGAGCAAAGCACACATTTTCCAAACAGCCTATTCAAACTTTTAAACACAGTTTTATTATTTAAATCAACATTCAGCCCACAATGCACACATACACAAAACCATGTGTACATGAAAGACATTATGATGTCATTGTAACTTTGCAATGGAAATGCAAGATCAAACTAAAACATTGTGAAAAGTTTCTCAGAATACAAAATATCAGTGTCTAGAGTCTCTTATCATATATTTGCATATTAAATAAAATTGTGTCCCAGTATTGGTCATTTGCAATTGGGTGAGGTAGAAATAATGATAAATGGTTGTTTTGATGTAAAGGAATAATTATGGTCATGACAAAACTTAAATTAGTGCAAAAGTAAGTTGCTTGCAGGTTTAATACTTACACATATTACATTAATATGTGTAACATAAAACATAAAAAATAAGCTTTCTTACAGAACTTGCTAAGATAAACAACTGAGAAATGTGTCTTTTTAGACATGGTGAACGGACTACACACAGTATGAGTGATTGTATGTGAAGTCCAAGGTCTGAGCATACATCAGTGCAGCCAGACTGATCCAGCAACATCATTTCTGCTCAGTCTTTCTGGGAGTAAAGTGTCTGTGACAGGGGCAGAATTCCATGTGGTAACTGATCAGAAGCCAAGCGCTGTCCCCAGTGCACTGCCATACACAGGCCCGCAATGGCCATGCCGGCCAGGGTTTCCGCTTTGCTGCCTTGCCCTGATTGTTCCATCTGTCTCTGAATCGCTCGCCGCTTTCTGTCTCTTAAAAAAAAAAATAAAAAAAAATTGGACTCCAGCAGGCCAGGACAAAAAGGCCTCACTGGACTGTTTGATAGAATCAGAGACTTGTGGGTCAAGGTCATATCTGTTCTCTTTTTGTGCATCACTTTGCTGAAATGTCTAATTAGAGATGGAGAGGAAGAAGATTAACATCTGATGAAGGATAACTCAACAGCACTGCCTAAACTACTACATTTTGAAAGTTACACAGTAACATGGCTACATACTGTATGCAAAGTTACAGTATATAGCCATTACTGGCACTGGCACTATTCAGTAACAGGTATAGGTTTTAAGTTTAATCAGGTATAATTTCCAGCTGGCCCACAGTGGACATCATTCGTTCTTCCAGGCACTCAAAATGTCTTTCAGAACAGAGAGGTTCAATCATCCATCCATCCATCCATCATCTAAACCGCTTATCCTTCTGGGTCGCGGTGGGGTGCTGGAGCCCATCCCAGCTGCCATTGGGTGGAAGGCAGGATACACCCTGGACAGGTCACCAGTCCATCGCAGGGCAGACAGACAGACATACACATTCACACCTAGGGGCAATTTAGCACATCCAGTTAGCCTGACTGCATCTTTTTGAACTGTGGGAGGAAACCAGAGTACCCCGAGGAAACCCACACAGACACGGGGAGAACATGCAAACACCACACAGAAACGACCCTGGTCACCCAGCCGGGAATCGAACCCAGGCCCTTCTTGCTGTGAGGTGACAGCGCTACCCACTGCGCCACCGTGCTGCCAGGTTCAATCATCTACACTCTTATAAATTTTAGTTCCCTAAAGAACCTTTCTCATAATCTAAAGGTTCTATAATGATCCACATAAAAACACTGACAGTATTACAGCATCAACAGATATGTAAATGAAAAATACTGGATAACAGCCTCAGCCCACTGTTCCCGTATTGGTGCATCCTAACTTAAAAGAGTTCTTTGAAGCGATTTCTTAAAAGAACCATTTTTAGTTCCTTCATTAAAAAGAAACTTCATTAAACTATAACTTTCGTAAAGCAGGTGTGTGTGTGTGTGTGTCTAAAGAGCCTTTTTCCAATCTTAAAGAACCTCTGTGCAATGCAAAGGTTCTGCACTGATCAAACTTTTTCGTAGAACCATAGGTACAAGCCAGAGAACCTTTATTTTTTTGGAATGAATGAACAACCATCTAAAAATAATGGTATCAAAAATAGTTCTTGGCAGTGAAGCCATAAAGGAACCACTTTTGGTTTGCCAAATAACCCTTCAAATGATGGTTCTTGAGGGAACTTTTGTTATACATGAGATGTGCGACCTTTTTTAAGTTTAAGGGTACAGAACCTATAAAAGGTATAGAGCCTCCACATAATGAAAAGGTCCTATACCTATTAAAGATTTTTCTTAGAACTGTACTTGCAAGCCAGGAACCATTTACCATTTCAAAGCACAGTTACATAGCAGGCATCCTCCAGGCTCACGCTAACATATAGCATCACCCACAGAGCTTAAGCGTGATGGACAGCTCCGCTGGATCATGTGCAGAAAAATCTTACATCATACGTGATGATGACCTCTTTTCATAGAAAAATGGTCGTGTCCACAATACAAAACCAACACAGCTCATTAACAAGAAGCCAAGAAGGAATCTATTTTAGTTTTGGTAGAGGTCACTCTTCAATCCTGACCCACGGCAAATATCATGACTTTACTTCTAATGCTTAAGATTATGGTGTGGCTGGGAGAAAGACGGTTCAACATTTCCTTTTACCCAGATCTAGAGCAGTACGTTTAGATATATTACGCAAAGGGGCTGTAGTTGGCCATCTGACATATCTGTCTTCAGCTGACCTACTCTAATGAACGTTAAAGGACCAAATATCCACACACTGAGTAAACAAGATAGACCATAATTTAAGCAAAAACCAGGTTCAGGTGACTGGCAAAATGACTCATTATCATCATAAATAATATGGCCTACATACAGATTAAGGCCAAAGCTCTCGTTCAGATTTGACCTGCCACTGTTCATATAATTGTTTACTATTATACAGACCTATAGGACTTAATTACTAGACCAAACCATGCTAACAAAGTGTAGCTGTAAAAGAAAGCGTGGACACAGACTGGGCTTCAGTAGAGTCGACCTGAACATAGCCTAGCAGCTTCCATGATTCACGAAGCCCTCCAGCTTCAGTCTCACAGGTAGCTCGACTTATAGCTCTAGGCACGAAGTAGGCTAAGTTCTATGCGAAAAGGAGGCTGTACAACCAAACAGCAGCACATCCTCATCATGTGGAATAGGGGCACGTTGAAATCGAAGCTCAGCTGCTGTTACTGAGCGCTTATAGAGACACGGGGTCATAATAACACCGTGCCGTCGTCCTGCTGTTCGTGCTCAGCGAGATGTGGACTGTTCTTCAGCAGTCCTACGCCACATTGCTGGTGTACGATTCCACACGTCCACAGACAAAGAGATTTCTTCTCGGATCTTAACGCAAGCTTTGCTGCTGCTGCTGCTGCTGCTTCTGCTGTCCACTGATGCACTGAAAGACGCCCTCACACCTCACCAACGATCCGCCGAACAGCGGGCCACACAGCCGCGTTCAGACACGCTTCGTGCGGATTCAGAGCAGCACTCATCCGCAAGATGCGAGTCAGAGCGAGTGTGGGAGAGACAGAAAGGCCAGGTGCACCTGCCCAGGACACGCAGTGATTCCAGCAGCTGCTCAGCCCACATCACGAGAATGTGAAATGAAGGATAGCTTCGAGAGCGAGAAACGCAGGCAGTGTCTTACCTTTCATCCGTCATCCGCTATTCCTCTGTCTTCGGTCGAACACAACACAAATCAGATCCTCTCTCCAGAATGTATGGCTTTAAAAATCAGATGAGAAAACAGGCTCCCGTCTCGCCGTCGCTGTTTCTCTCCTCCTCATCCTCATGCCATTCAGCGATGCAGCAGAGGCTCGAGGCCACGCCCACCCAGCCCCTCTATCCCATGACGTCAGGGAGGGGCAGATTAAAATCTCCGCCCATTCTGTGAGACCGCTCTTTCTCACCTGCCCTCTTTGCGCTCTCGCCACCCCGGAGTTCCGCCGCTCGTGCCCGTTTTCCGTTCAGCTATAGCAACATTTTTTAGGGACTTTTTTATTGTTGCTAATTAAGTGTTCCCAACAAACAAATAAAACGTCACTAAACATTTATTTTTTTTAAATTAAACATTTATACACACATACACATATGTACATACATACATACATACATACATCATCTAAACCGCTTATCCTTCTGGGTCGCGGTGGGTTGCTGGAGCCTATCCCAGCTGTCTTTGGGCGGAAGGCAGGACACATATGTATATATACATATATATATATATATATATATATATATATATATATATATATATATATATATACATAATTTAATATCAATATCAAAGTTGTAGTATAAAAATATTTAGTATTTACTATATGTATGTATGTATGTATGTATATATACACCGATCAGGCATAACATTATGACCACCTCCTTGTTTCTACGCTCATTGCTCATTTTATCAGCTCCACTTACTATATAGGTTCTACAATTACAGACTGTAGTCCATCTGTTTCTCTGCATACTTTGTTAGCCCCCTTTTACCCCGTTCTTTAGTGGTCAGGACCTCCATGGACATTCTCAGCACTGCAGTAACACTGGTGTGGTGGTGGTGTGTTAGTGTGTTGCGCTTGTCTGAGTGGATCACACACAGCAGTGCTATATATATATATATATATATATATATATATATATATATATATATACATATATAAATATATAGTGCTATATATATATAGTCCTTAGTCCAGCCTACCTGTCAATCACCTCCAGACAGAGGGTGGCGCACGGTATGACAACAGTCTACGAACCTACCTGAGACAAACCATCCTCATTGAAAGAAAAAAAAACCAAACAAACAGAGTGCAGTTGAAAACGGGTGACTCAGTCAATCTGACATGCACACTATTTTATATGCAATAATGTATTCAATACAATGTGTTTCAATTGTTTATACATATATATGCCTTTCAGTTAGTGCAGAACTAGAGGACTACAGGTAACTATGCAGGTCTCATCAACTGACAATTTTTCAACCCCCCCCCAAATGAACAATAAAAAAATGAAAAAAATAAAATAAATATTTCCACTGTTACATAATGTGCTCGTGTTTGTTTATATATCATATAGCTCACACATATGGGTCTATTGTGAGCGGTAAAGACAGAGGTAAGTGGGCTGCTGTCATGAAGTCTCTGAGGGAAAGCTCCCTGACTCTGAGATAGAGCCAGACAGGCTTACACTCTCACACCCTCTGCTGTTCAGAGGCCTGCAGTGATTGCCTGAACCTGCCTGGCATTTCTGTCACTAAAACAAAAGTTATTATAATAATAAAAACGTTTAATGCTAAAGGTGATTATAACAACAACAATAATAATAAAATAATAATAATATACATATAATAAACAAACAAACAACATGAAACACTACATGCTTTCCAGTGATTAACAGATCACTTTTAAAGACATGCTGAGATAATAATGAATAATTTTGACTTTTTTCCTGTAAATGACGACATCTTTCACAAAGCAAGTCATAATTACGAAACACCAGAATAGAAACTTTTTTAGATACAACAAAGTGACTGAATGAACTCCATTTACATTAAATAAATGTATGTGCTGTTTATAACTGTGCTGTTGTAAAACTGCTTAAAAATCATTTCACACACAGCAAAGCTGTGAACACAATCTCAGTTATGCAAGTTACCTTAATCTCAGTTTTGTTTCTCTTTTTTTCTGAGTAGGATTTGACTGAGTCTTCTGAGTAAAGCAGAAACTTTTCTATAACTCCATAACAAAGACTGTCTAGATTAGAAAGTTGCATAATACATAGGCCTGGTTTAAATCTGCTGACCACCTCTCATTACTGCAGTCGCCTGCTGAAAACAGAACAGGCCAATCATTCTTTGCAAATGAAACCCTAGAATAGGTGGTCCCCAAAGCGCCGTTGACCAATCCCCTGCTCACTGATTAGAGGAGCAGGTTTTTGTTTTGGAGCCTGAGCGCTGTCCTTGGCATGCAGCGCTGGACTGACCCACTTTGTGGAAGCGCGGTGTGAATGGGCTTCTGTGAGCCGCCGAGCTGCCGGCGCTCTTCTGAGAACTGCGCACGATGAAGGCTGGATTAACGCCGCTTCTATTATCATGTTGCCTTTTTTCTGTCCGAGCGAAGCCGTCGTCCGTGTCGTGTCCCAGCGGTCAGTTCGCGTTAAAAAGCCAGTGTGTGCTGTGTCATCCCACCTGCGCGGAGTGTGAGGGACACGAGCTGTTTCAGTGCACTGCCTGCGCTTTAGGTAAGACACACAACACACGGAGTTTGGTGAAGGCGAGCAGGTGGCCGCTGTTAGCCTAGCAAACTCGTTGGAGCAGCAGCCCGTTGTGCTGCTGTTCAGGCAAACAAGTGCTGTCTGATTTCACTAGTGCTGCTCAGACTTTTCCACACGTTAGGTTAGTTTATTTGGACTGCAACCATGTAACTTTAACACTGTCACTAAAAGCATCATGTCCCTAATCAGCGATTTAGCTAAAAAGTCGAAAGTAAGATCTTAAGTAAGTATATTTATACCCAGAACTAATAAAGCAACTTAAACTCACACAAACTATTCCTAATTGTTACTTAATTGAAATAAAGACTCAAGTAAAAGTAAAATTATCTTTTCAAAGACAACTTAAAAAAACTGAATACTACTCAAAGGGGAATTCCACCATATTTTCCACAATTGCTGCATAATTCAGTTAGTGTAAACAAAGTCATTTAGAGTGTGATGATCTGAAATGACGCATTGTTTATATGCTACAAACTAGTGAACCTAAATGTGTCTTCTGGGTTTTTAAAAATAATGTTGAATTAGTGGTAAATCAGAAAAGTTTTTTGGGTACTGTTTTGCCTTACAATGCCCGCATGTACCTCTCCACCACGAATGAACACTAATAAAAAAATAGGCCAAAACAAGTCTCTAAACAGTGTCTCTGGCATCTAACAACATAACCGTAACCATTTTTGTAAAACAATTTCTGTGAGGGAGCTTTTAGAAGCATTAAACTCTTTGGACATCTGGTTCCTATCACCACCACTGGGATTTGATAAGTTTCTCTATGATGCAGGCTTTCTCATAAAACCACTTTGAATGGCTTAGTTTACAGCTTAACTACTGAATTATATAAACATTTGGAAAAATAAGTGGAATCACCCTTTAAGTACCAAGTAACTTATAGAGCTGCAGTGGAACTGCTTAGAACATTCAGCATCTATCAGCACAGGAACTGAATTCGTCTCTGTTTGATTCACTCTTTATCTAAAATAAAATACAAAAGCTCTAAGAGATGTGATCAATTGCAAAGCAGAAGCTAAAACAATATAAGATAATGTAATTTAACACAATAAAGAGTTAAATATTAAATATTAATGACTAAAGTGTAACTATGTAAAAGGTAGATTACTTTTCTCACAAATATATTTGAAAATAAAATATGATTTGAAAATACAATGAAAAGTACAAATCCCTCAAAATTTAACTTGGGTACATAAATGGAACTACTTACTACTGTTTGTAGACTTATGGGTGAGCTGTATTTTGACAAGACCTTTGCATCACTAAAGTAATTTAGATTATGCTACTCTTATTCATGGTTAGTTACATATATTACTGATATATTCCCAAAAATATCTCAGAAAGCTGAAGCAGGACCATTTTTTTTTCACGTCTCATACTGTGGTATTATAGAAGTGGGTTCTGACCCCTGATCAGCATTATTACTTTGAGAAACTTGAGGGTTTTTGGATGGGGGAGGGGTTTTGGGGGGTGTTTGCTCTTTGAGTGAAGGGACACGCTATTGTGTAGGTTCACAAAAGCAACTATTCCAAGTGGCTGCTGCCAGTACGCTCTGTCCAGCTGCTGGGATGAAACAATGAGATGGCTCACATGGCCTTTCCCATTTTCAAAGTAACAAAAGCAGCCTTACCTTAGAACACAGTTTGTTTAATGGCCACAAATGCGAGTCTGATTCAGAGTGTTCAAAACTAGAACGATGACTCACATGCAGTTGTATTATTTATTGCTGTGACCTTTAGTTGAACCACCATTAGCAACTAATTTAACAGATTTTGGTCTACGTATGTTATGAACTGCTTAATATAGTACTTCATATATTGTATTTCATCTGTTGTTATATAAAGTCCTTTCTTCTGCACCATTAAGAAATCAGTTAGTACCAAACAGAAGGCCGTTGTAATGCCGTCAGAATGGGCCCCAGGGTATGTGATACTGGAGACTTTAGTATGTGTGGCTGCTTACCGTGGCTACCGTCACATTTTCTTTACCTTGGATTCCTTTAATGAAGTAACAAATACCAGAGACTTACAGAGCAAACAGTAGAATAGCCATTACATAAGCAGTGCTTTATGAATTCCTTTGCTTTAAACACTTTGATTTTAAGATTGCCAAATAGTTACTTAAGTTAGTCAGGTTACTGATGGTGTAAGGAGTGGGAAAGGGTGGAGTGCTTTTTTTTAACAATTTCCTAATTTGGTAACTTTCAGTACAGGAACTGGATCTGGCACAAGTCTGAAATCCACTTCAGAACCTTTTTAAACTACACTATCAATGTTTCGGAAGACTTCAATGTGTTGAATAGATTAAAGTGGGAATAGCAGTTGTGCATATACTAATAAAATAGAAGTTCTCAGGTTCTTTTCCTGGACAAAAGGTTGTAGGAAAATAAACATTATTGTTATAGAAACTTTACGTTATATGGAGGTTCTTTAAGCTTTAAAAAGATTCCCCACACTTCATCTCATTAACAAAGGTTTTTAAAGAAGCAGTATGTAAGCTTTAGTAGCATCAAGTGCTGAGGTTGCAGATTGCAACCAACTTAATACCCTTCCCTCATCCCTCCCTTTCCTTGTGTATAGTAGAACCTACGGTGGCTGTCAGGTTTTATGCCGTCCCCTGTCAAAACTTTTTGTTTCATTCATAACGAAGATTCACCCTTCCTTGCTTTTTCTTGTGCTCAACAATAAGCATGATTGTCTATTTGTCAAAATTTGAGTTCTCAAACTTCTGACAACACAAAATGGTTAGCTAGCACTAGCAGCAACTTCAACGTAAAAATCTCTAGAGCTAGTGTTTGGTTTGTCCGTTCTGGGCTAGTATAGAAACTTGGCAGCACAACATCTTGAAAAAATGTAGTTATGTAGATATGAAGGGCTCAGTCTAAGCTAACGAAAGCAATGCTATGTTCCATTTATGGTAGAAGATCCCCCTATAATTTACACACTGCACCTTTAAAGAACTTTCCACTGAAAGGTTCTTTATTTTTCAGAGTGTAAAGCGTACAATTACACACTGTGGCTTGGTTTCCTGGATTTGGATTAAGCTAATAAAAGTATGTAAAATATGTTTAAAAGTAATTTTAACCGAGCTACTTGATATTTGAAACTAGCATTTAGTATGTTATTTGTCATTTTATGTTACATTCTATACAGCAGTATTTTATCCCTCAGCCTCATTGCTGAATCCACAATTTTGTATCCTTTTTATTTTTTCATTCATAAGCATCCTCTCACTACAATACCCAACATGCATTGTGCAAATACATCAAGCAACCATTGGGAGTCCTCCCTAGGGTGATAAAGAAATGCACTAATGTAGAGGTGCAGAAGTGACTTTTTAGCAGTAACATCAGCTAGCGGGAAACAGCCTGCCCTCATGTGTTCACACAAGATTACAAGCAACAGTTATTTTTTTCCAGAGTGCCCCCTTAATGCTCTTTAACCAACAAGCTGTTTTAAAATAAGCTTTAAATGAATAAATGAGAATAGTAAACTCAAGTGTCAGAGATTTACATACCAAATAGTAAATGGTGTAAGGCTCATGTTTTCTTACAAGATCTTGCAAGGATAACAGCAGGAAATGCTATGAACAAAAACCATGAAGGATCCAACAAGCAGTCCATAATACTGCTATGGTAGAGAACCACTAGTCAGAGCAATAACTGCTTCTCTTTGGCCTTGCTCAGGAAGGACTCTGTCATTCTTGTCACGCCTCCTGTTCAGAATGACAGCGTATAACTCTAAGGCTTTCTCAGCAGCCCCAGGATGTGTTCGCTGCAGGTGTCTGTACATCCATCAAGTATGCTAAACAAGACCACAACACCACCAGTGACTCTCCATTGCTCTTGATTGCCCTTGTTTACTTTGCTTCCAGTCCTGGCCAACCCTGTCAGTCAGAGCACCCCCACTGTTGCTATTTAGAGAAAACTTCATGACTGACACAAACAGATGACGGCATTTGGGCCAGGCCTGTCACAATTCCAAAATTTCAGCTGACGATTGACTGCCATACAAAAAAGTGAAATTATTTGTCTTTTTTGTTTAAAGTATGTAACTATAAAAGTATAAGCCTAAAGTGGAGACATTGGCTGATTTGCTGTCTTGTTTCCTAGTTGGCATTACTAAGGGAGCTCCCAACTGAACGGACACAGCTTGAACTCAAGTAAACAAACATTACTTCGCTGCTGAGCAGCTTGTTTACCTCTGACTTTTAGCGATAAAAGTACTTAGGTAAAACTCTCTCGTCTCCCCCTCAGTTTAGCTGGACTTCTCCACCCTGTGCGCAAATGTGTTATTCCAATCCCCCCAACATAAAACAATTATTTTAACTGTAGGTTTTGTGACATTTTAGGTATCAATGAACAATTTTTCCACCTATGTTAAAGGGGATAAAGTCTCTCTCAACATTTATGAAATGTTTCCTTAGCCTACATTCACAACTTCTTTTTTTAAGGATTCATTTTTTTCACACAAAATCCTTTAGATGGAAACATAAGGCTAATATGAGTTAGAGTCTGTGTGTTCATACTGTGAACTCTCTCACACTTGGCCATGACTGTTCTGTCTCTGACCCTAACTCCTTTTAATGATCAGATGTACTTGATCCTGTGCTGTAATATGTTGATCCGCATACCCAGCAGGGCCCATGTAGGATTGAAGGTGCTTAGACTGTGGGAAGAAGTTGCCCTTTATCAGTGATCTAGGACAAGCGTTCTATTCTCGTCTTTTTGTAAGAAAAGCTGCAAAACTTTACTCAGACCAATGTAGGAGGACGCCAGGCCTGGATGGTGGAGTAGGTGCCAAAAAGCAGTAGCCAATATGACATTTATCAACTGTTGTTGGCATTTGCAGATGAGGATGGGAGGGAGCGCTTCCTCCATCAGGGCCACTGTAGAGCCCACTGCCCTCGGGAGTTTTACCCAGATCGAGTGCAGTACACCTGCCGGCCCTGCATAACCAACTGTGAAATCTGTGCGGATGGCCACATGTGTGCCAAGTGCAGGGAAGGATATAAGCTCCAGAGTGGGCTCTGCCAGACAGCGCTGTGTGGATCAGGTAAGTGTAGAGAAAACAGTTCAGTGAGAGAGATCAGTTCAAAAATTTGGGATCAACGTTTTTAAAAATATCACACCAATAAATAGAAGACAGAATAAAATTAACATCCCCTATATTTCAGAAGTGGCGATCAAACTTAAAGCAGATAACTTTAAAAACAATAGAATAAAAAATATTTAAATTGATAATTGCTGTAGCTTTTTTTTAACAATTCAACAATTTCTTGTTGTTCCCAAAATACTTGTATGTATACATCTTTACTAAAATCATTTTGATGTCTCTTTTAATATTTAAATATGGGTTTTATAAATATAATATTGTATGCAGTAGCAGCATTATTTAATATGAAAGTGATCTAAACTTTTGAGTGATCTTAGTAATATATTTCAACAGTTTCCTCTTAGTTGGGTAACCATTAAACAAAATGTTGCTGGTTTGTGTTAATTAATGTTAGTTTAGTTTGTGTTAATTAGTGTAGTGTAACAGGTGAACTATTACCTGTTCATATCAGCTATTATGTTACTTGATCATCCTGTCCACTCCTTGTATTGCAGGCCAGGTTCAGGATCCAGACTCAGGAGAGTGCATTGATTGTGAGACTGGCTGCAAGACCTGCTCTGCTGGTAAATTTTATACCCTGCCCGTTCAGGCTATCTTTAACAATATACTTTTTCTGTCACACTTTATGTGAAACACACCTACACAGGGGCCTCATGACAAATACATAAGCAAGTAATAATGTATTTAAAAAGCAATACTTGAGTACTTATGAACAGCTTATATCAGTATTTGCAAGTATTTGCGAGATGTTTTCTGAAGTAAATGTCATTATATTGACAGAAGTCCCCTCAAGTTAAAGTGATGGACATTTGTTTCATTTATGTTCTTACATTTTTCCCAAGTAAAGTAACCAAAAAAGCAGGCGCCTTTTTTAGAACACCAGATATCAGTTCTGTGACAGATTTTGTTGTCCTCAAACTGAAGTCATTTCCTCCTCAGTGTGGCTGTGTTATTTATTTGTTTGCTTGTTAGTGATTATTCTGTTTCTTGCTCCAGATGACCCGGAGTACTGTAACAGCTGTGCTGATGGCTACTTTCTGTGAGTTTACTTATTGCTTTTACTTCACCCATTATATTGTGGTAGTTTGTATAGTTGACTAGGTATTTATGTAGTTTGCTTTAATCCTTTGAATGGTGTGCACGGACTGTGTCCCTCAGGCGGTGTGAGGGGAACAGAACTGTGATTGTGTACTCCCCCCCCCGTGTTGTGGCCTCTTGCTGTCATGTGCATCAGGTTTCCCTGAGCTCACTGTCATGCCTGGTTACCTGAGATCCTTTTCCTTCAATCCTTCAGTGTAAAGTGTCCACCTGCCTCTTATGAGCTTTTCTCCTCTCTCTAGCTTTCTCTATTCCCAGGTCTATCTATAGGACTGTCTGTCTACTAGAGTGGGCAATATGGCAAAAATACAATATGACAATACTTGATAAAAACAAGGCATTTTGATGCATAATATAGAACACAATATTTAGTTTATTTGAGGTTTGTGATGAAGTCAGAATGAACACATCCAAAAAGGCTTTGAAAACCATAAAGTTACCAAACAATGATACACCATTTGTCTTTTTATGGTAGATGCCATTGTTCAGTGTTTTAGAAGTACTGATCATAACCAGGAAGGGGTATTGTGACCTAAGTTTTCAGAATAACAATAACACATTGCCATATTGCCCACACCTAATCTTAATTTCTTAAATCTTAATAATTGTATGTGGATTGTCCAGACACCCCTTTTAATTAGTGGCTTCAGCTACTTTAAGGCACATCTATTGATGATACAGGTATTAAATGCATAGGAAGCCTTAAAATCTCCATAGAAAAGCATTGCCAGTAGAAAGGGTGCACTGAAGCAGCCGAACACAAGCCCAAGGTCATTTTGTCCAGTGCTGAAGGGGCATAAAGCTCCCTGACACTAGACTATGGAGCAGTGGAAACCTTTTGGAGTGGTAGAAACACCACTGAACACCTTTGAGTTGAATTGGAGTGCTGTTTATGAACCAGAAAAGGGGGGACAAACTGCTTCTTAAAACTCATGATTATTAGATGAACAGGTGTCTTCAAACCTTTGAACGTATGTTTTGTCAGAAAAAAATCTATATACCGTATTTTTGGTAAAAAGTAGTATTGATACACAGAGGCTTGACTATTGATATTTTATTATTAATATTTACAATGTGAACCAAACACATTGATGGGCTGATAGGATACCACACACCATTGCTTTCTTAGTCCAGAAGATTTGCAGTATATATTATATTGAAATGAAATTCACAAACTGCAACTTTATTAAGTAAAACAGAGAAAGTTTTTTTTAGATGCATAATTCGCAGGCAAAACAATATTTCACAATTTATCATGTCTCAATATTTGGCATAATCACAAAACTTGATGAATAGAATCAAATTGTGTCTAAAATATCATGATAATGTCATAAGTGAAGCCTCTCTCTCTCTCTCCATGGTTTGGAGTCTTCAGTAATGAGTGTGCCCTCAGAGATGAACCGAGCCGGCACATTCCACATGCTTTCATTGTGCTTGCTCTGTTGCTGTGGAGCCTTTGTCCACTTTCACCCTAAAACTGCTTGCTTAAAAGTGAAGTAACTAGTTGGAACAGAGACAAAGTCTTGTTGTCTGAGGCACTTTGTGTGTCTTATAGTAGTCTTATTTGCTGTTATTTCTGATCATTTTATGATAAAATGTATTTAATGATAATTGTATAGGCTAATCCTAATTCTGCTTGAGACGTGAGAGCTACTTAGACTTGGTGCCATTGGCTAAAAATGCTGATGCACCCTTTTCCTCAGCCAATGAGCAGATGAGTGTTTGCACGGAGGGATTCCTTCCAGTCTCTGGTGTTCTCTGAATTGAGGACAGTGTGTGTGGTGTGTGTGTGTGTGTGTGTGTGTGTGTGCGTGTGTGTGTGTGGATAGCCTTGGTCTAGTTCAGTTATGATGGATGTGTTGTGGTACTCCCGGCTGCTCCTCCTTGCCTAATTCCAGCACCACAGCAACACAGCAGGAGGTGCCTAGCAGGCTAGAGCCCCACACAGCTTCGTGTCTGATGAAGATGAGAAAAGGAGACGTTACGTCATGTATCAGTCTGTCTCTGCTCAGTCCTTTAGCCTGAATGTGAACTCATCTTTAACACTGTCTGGTGGCTTCAATGTGACTTCAATGTAATACAGTCCTCACACAATTCCATCTGTCAGTGCACAGACGTCAGTGACCTGTCACCTGTTTTGCAGCACAATGCCCAGAAGACTGAGTGAACTGCTTCAGTGAACATCAGGTTCATTCAGCAACAACACATACTTTCCCTGCTTTAATGTTCTCCTCATCAAATCAGAGATTATGACATAACCTCACAGGTTTGGTGGATAAATGAGGGTAAGGTTAGTGCAGCAGGTGCACTGTAGCTTTGAGCTGTTGCTCAATTCTCTGTTCTGGGGGTGGAGGAACTTCTCTGGTTACTGTTCCCCTAGCCTTCTGTAGCAGAGTTCAATAGGCTGACTGCCTTGGGCATCCCTGCAGTTCCTTTGTGCTTTGCAGTCTGGATGAAGAACATGTGAGCTGGAGTTAAGCTTTGATCCAAGAACATGCACGTAATGCAGATTTGAGTGTTGAAGTTGTTTTGGCAGTCCCACACACTGTTCAGAGATTTAGGACTACCAGTCTTTTCAAAAGGACTGTTGACGAAGTGTTTTCTTACTGCTGAGAAGAACTGAAACTACATAACAATAAATATATCAGGCCTGCATAGGTCTTATTAAGTGTTACTCCTCATTTGCACTCACCTGGTTTTCTCAGAAGACAATGACTGTTCTTCAAAACAAGGTGGGGAAAAAAATATAACTTTGTGATAGTTAAAGACATTTTCATGATGCAGAATACATTTAGTAGTACCACCTTAAAATTAGTATGATTCGTATTAAATGTTTTTCATAAACAGGACTAATTATGCTTTCTCAAAAACATTTGTTTTATGAGTACTGACAAAATTCCGTGAAACTATGTTGTAATATAATTTATCAAAATAGTGATATATTGAGGTATTGTCTGATTATTATTTATCCCTTAGAAGTCACTTAGAGTCATTGTTGTACTTTTACTATAGCCTATATTGCAGTTACAGTACAAAGGAATTTACACTGTGCTACATAGTCACACATTGTTATATTACACAATGATTTAAATATGATTTAATTAAAATTTAATTACATAATTAATTGAATAGTTATTTAATTAGTTATATATTTCATTCAGTCTTCATTCTATACCGGTTCTGCACTTCTGACACTTTTGTGTTTGTTTCAGTGTCAGACCATGACAAAAACATGGTATTTTCTGTAAAACTGTGTACACCAAAATAACTTTCCATCAGATTCACATTGTAGTCTTCTGCTTACAAACACAAATTGATTGAAATTAAAATATGACTGTGACTTGTAGTGGTTAAGCAGCAGTGTGGCACATCTTTAACAGTGACATTTTGATTGTTCTTTCTCTCTGCGCAGCTACAGGCACCAGTGTCGCCGGCACTGCCCCCAGAGGAGCTATGAGAACCGCAGCAGGGGCCTGTGTCTGAGCTGCCCGGAGCCATGCTTAGACTGCAGGAGTGAAACGCTGTGTCTGACCTGCCAGTCTGGTCACTTCCTCCACAGTGTGTACAGCATCATTTTGAGCTTTTTCACTTCCCATTTATTGTGCTTCGCTCTGTGCTTTTCTTACAGGCTATAACTATTATTACTATATTATGTGTGTGAAAGCTTTATTAAAAGTTTCTGTTATATCCTGTACAGGGTTTCAACAATGAGCAGAAAACCTGGTACATTTTTAAACTATAGTTTGCAAAAAACTATTATTTTACACAATTTTACCACCTTACCTCAAATGTAGTTGATCAGCCAGAACATGTTTGGTGTCCAGAGTTTGCTGCTTTGGTTTTGCACAGGAGCTACAAGGCTAATGTAGCTTACAAGTAATGGAAACTTACACACAAGCCATACACTGTTACCTAAAACTGTGATGAGATTTTAATTAATCTAAGCCAGGCTTGCTTTTAACATACTGTTATCTATAAAAAAGGACAAAAGCACATATAAGATACAAGATGGCTGCTACTACTGTTTTAGTTGTGTGACATTCTTTCATAAATAACAGTATTTCATAAACCAAATTAAGTAATCTCAGATAGAACTGCTAAAGCACTAATATCCTATATTCCTTGCATTTATTTATTTCCCCTGAGGGTCATATATATGTATTTGTGTGGTTTTATTTAACCAAAAACAACAGGCTGTGGCTTTTATATGTAAATGACCTTCGTTCTCATTGGCTGCCCTGTAATATGCCTCATTTCAAAAAGGAGTTTGGGCTGAAATGCTCATTACAACTTTAGGGTGAGTGGGTGGAGCTGAACTACTGAATAGGCAGATATATAAAAATATATGGGCTTCCACACATCACATCACAGAAACAGTGATTTCAATACAAGCTGTTTATGCAGTATATATGTCCATATATGGACAGTATGGACTGAGTGAATGTTTTGAAATACAATGTAATTTCGAAATTTCAACCAAGTTTACATACATCCGACTCAGTTAGGTCCTTTAACAGTCTGCAGTGGTTTAAGCTTTCATCACTTGTTAGCTACATTAGCCTCCTACTGCCAGTGCAGAACTAAAGAGGCAAACCTCTGAATTCATGGTAAATGGTAAATGGTAAAAAAATTGTGTTAATTTGATTTTTGCCAAACTCCTAATATGTTAGGCTGATATGTGTGCTCACATCAGTGTGCTCACGATTTACTCAGAGCTTCTCATTTGACTTGGAAATGTATGGCCACCATGATTAAATGCAAATGAGCTAAATGCAAAATCTGGTAGCACAGATCAGTGCTGTGACAGTCCAACAAACACTCACTTAAATCGAACATTAACTCAAAATATTGAATGTTGAGTTTGGAAATGATTTTGGACCCTTGTACATCTTTGTTTGTACTCAGGCATGTTCTCTTTGGTCTGCTGATAGATGGTGCCTGTGTGAAAGAGTGTCCCCAGGACACATTTGGTGATGCCAGAGGGTGGCGCTGTCAGCCTTGTCACACTTCTTGTCTGACCTGCCACGGTCCAGGAGTGAGAGAATGTGACAGGTGCAGCGGCTGGAACCGTCCCATTTATGGAAAGTGCCCTATCATCAGCTGCCCTGAGGGCCAGTACTTTGATAGTGAGTATGAAAACAGCACATAACAATTAATACATTCATTTGATTAATGAATCAAAGGATGTAACAAACTTATGGCATGGAATCTGAAATATTACAGGCAGTATTCTTTAACGCATTAAAGAATACTGCATGTAATGACCCTGTTTATTACAGTCACTCACACTCGAGGCCTCTGACTGAGTCAACTCTTCGTGTTGTGCTTGACAACAGGGCCATTAATTTGATACACAATCAGCAGTGTTTTGCTGAGCAGAGGCTGGCAGCTTTGTCTGCAAATAGTATGAGCCTGACCTCTGCTGGACGTGCTTAAGAACTGCATCACATCTGAAATAAAACAGAATCTCTTACATATTACATTATACATACATTATAGAAAATGTATGCAAATAGTGACAAATGGATGAATGAATAGTCAGTGGTACATCCTTATTGTTTCCTTTCCAAAGATGTGAATCGTGACTGCCGTTATTGCGATGTATCCTGCAGGACGTGCTATGGGCCAAAGGCGCAAAACTGCTACAGCTGTGCTGCTGGTAACGTACAAACAGGTTCACTTTCTGCTCATGGTGGAAGATATGACAAAAATATAACATTGCGAAACTAGAAAACTTTACAATACACAAAAATATGGCAATGTTTTGTTTTTCTTTGGCTTGCTAAGTTGGAACAGACACTAGGCACCAGCATTTAAGATATCCTGTCAAAAACTATAAATACATGGCACTAAGTCTAACTAAACAAGACATATGCCCTATTTTAATGAAACATGTTGATCATTGTTCTTTAACGAGATCTATGATATGCTCAGAAAAGGGAGAAATGACAATTTTGGTTCTGCCATTTTCTTCTTTTTGGATAAAATGCATATATAGCATGTCTTGCCTTAAGCTGTATTGATAAAGTCACAAATCAACAGAAATATGTTAATTTATTTTTTATATGTATTTGTGTATGTATATGTACTCGTATGCCAAAGTTAATTGTAGGTTTATGCTTTGTTGATTTTTTAAGTGAAAATGACACATCTTCTACAGAGAACACACTTTAAATACATGTTAATGTACAATTATTGTTTACAACCCCATTTCTCAAAAAGATGGTACAGAAAATAGAATGCAATAATATGCAAATCATGTAAACCCTATACTTAATTCAAAATAGTACAAAGACAACATATTAAATGTTGAAACTGAGAAATTTAATGGTGTTTTGAAAAATATATGCCCATTTTGAATTTGATGCCAGCAACACTCTGTAAGCATTTGGGAACTGAGGAGACCAATTGCTGTAGTTCTTAAAGTGAAATGTTTTCCCATTCTTGCTTGATGTAGGATTTCAGCTGATCAACAGTTAATAATCTGGCAAATGTTTTCAGTGGTGACAGGTCTGGACTGCAGACAGGCCAGTTTAGCACCCGGGCTCTTTTACTACGGAGCAATGCTGTTGTAATACATGCAGAATGTGGTTTGACATTGTCCTACTGAAATAATCAAGGCCTTCCCTGAAAAAGACGTAGTCTGGATGGTAGCATATGTTGCAAAAACCTGTATATGTCAGTCAGCATTAATGGTGCCATTAATGGTGCTGGATGTTCTTTAGCCTGGAGGACACAGTGTCCATGATTTTTGATTCCTCGAACCACAGGATACTTTGCCTCAGTCCATCTTAAGTGAGCTCAGGCTCAGTGAAGGTGGCAGTGTTTCTGGATTCTGTTTACATATGTTTTCAGAGACCATGGTTTTTGGAAGTGTTCCTGAGACCATGCAGTGATTTCCACTTCAGAATTGTGTCTGTTTTTAATGCACTGTAGCCTGAGAGCCCGGAGATCATGGCCATCCAGTATCAGTTTTCAGCCTTGTCTCTTGCATACAGAGATTTCTCTGGATTCCCTGAATCTTTAAATGATATTGTGTACCGTAGATAACGAAATTCTCAGGTTCTTTGCTATTTTACATTGAAAAATGTTATTCTTGAATTGTTGCACTATTTGCCCACACAGTCTTTCATAGAGTGGTGACCCCCTCTGCATCATTATTTCTTAAACACTCAGCCTCTGTAGGATACTCTTTTTATACCCAATCATGTTACTGACCTGTTACCAATTAACCACCAGGTGTTTTTAGCATTACACAGGTTTTTGTTGCCCTTGTCCCAACTTTTTTGAAATGTGTTTTTGGAATCAAATTCAAAATGGGCATATATTTTTCAAAACACAACACAATTTCTGAGTTTCAACATTTGATTCGTTGTCTTTGTACTATTTTCAATTAAATATAGGGTTTAAATGATTTACATATAATTCCATTCTGTTTTTAAATTACATTTTGCACACCATCACAACTTTTTGGGAATGGGATTGTATTTGCATTTATTTTCACTTAGAAAATCAATAAACTTGCATACAACTATATATGTACACACACTATATGGACAAAAGTATTGAGACATAACTCTTAATCACTGAATTCAGGTGTTTCATTCAGTCCCATTGCCACAGGTGTATAAAATCAATGGCCACTCATGGCTGCCAGATGAGGGCCGTATACACACCAGAGTAGAACCATACGTTAGCCAAAAATGAAACACACAACTGATCCTAATCTGGACCGCAAATTATGCACAAGTGGCCTAGATTTGCAAGCAGTCCACATTGGTTTTGTTCCAGAGTCAGCTGCTATTTGGCTATTGATTCTCAGCCTTATTTGAAACTAGTTAAAGAGAATTTACCATCAGCCTTTACATTTCCCATCATGACTGGCCTACAAATGTATAAGTACAATAATACATTTCTTTAAAATGTATTCTGTAATAGTGATCATTGTAAATTAAAGTGAATTGAGTCTGGTATTTATCCTTCATTTTCAACATAAATCTAACAAAACAACAATCAAAAATGATAGGGTATTTTTTTTAACAAGGTTCCCTTAAAAAGTGGATGAAATGCTCATACATTTTTTGCAGAAAAATTAAATAACAAATAGATAAATAAATAAGTAAGTAAGTAAGTAAGTAAATAAAATGAAACATATCAAACCAACAAGACTGCGAAGAACACAGTTAAGACAATCCAGCATATGCAATGTAAAATTCTTTTTTGACCATCCTTATTTGCCATGCCGGTGCAAAACTTGTATTACTCATCCAGGTCCTGTGGTCATTCTAACTATTCTAACCATCAATGAAGGGCTAGAGCAAGGGTGCCCATCCCTGCTTCTGGTGGTCTATCATCCTACGATGTTTAGCTTCAGCCCTAGTCAAACACACCTGATCCAGGAAATGAAGGCTTCCAGCGACATCTGAATATTAGAGCCAGTGTTGAAGTCTCCAGGGTGGTATATCACAAGGACCAGGATTGGGCACCTCAAGCCCTTCATCAGTGGTTAGTTTGTGACTCTTGGCTGGATATTTTTGGGAAGTGGTCCATTCAACCTAGCAGTGACACTGACGTGTGTAATAAAAACCATTAGCATGACTGTGTCTGATACACTCGCATCAACATCACACACACTACCATATTACTGTCACTGCTGTGCTGAGAATAGACCATCCAAAAATATCTGGTCAGTGGTGGTCCTGTGATGGTCCCTTTCCGAGTGCAGACACAACTTAGGTGTACACAATATACTGGCATAAAAGTGTTGCACAATAACAGAGATAAAAATATTTCCACTTATATACCAACATAATCTCTAAGCAGAGCGAAATAAAACAGTTAAACATTGATAAAGTCCTCTAAAAAGGTCAGGTGTACTTTTATTTTCTCTAAAAAGGTCAGGTGTAGTTCTTTTTGATGAGTTTGCAGTCTTGCAGGCTCTATTGTGGTTTCAATGTGGTCATTCTGAAGGAAACAGAAATACACCATCAAAATGAATATCTAAAGAAATGTAACATGTTATTGTTTGTGTAAGGTTTGCTTCCTTTTTGATCAGTGCTCAACTAAATTATCCATGAATTTTGACAGTCACTGAGTTCAGTGGGGAACTTCAACAAGTTTATCTTGAGGTGCTTTTTTCCTTTCTGCTTCGCTTTGGTCCCTTGTTCTGGATTGATTCACAGGACACTACAAACCAAAAAGTACAATTTCTCTAGTTCATGTCTAATCTAACTGAAAAAGGTCAGTACATTTCTTGTTTAAACGCCCCATGCAGTTACCCCTTAACTAACTCCAGTGTCAAGACTGTATCCTTTGAACATTAAAATTGAATAGCTCAGTGATATACTCATTGACAGTTGTTTGGTCTACTGCCATGTGATGAACCTCATCACTTGAAACACTCAATTTATGCTACGTTTCTAGGTAATTAGGTAGGCCTTCTTTGCCTGTACTGTCACTGGTCATTTTATCAGGTAAACCTACCGTAGACATACTTTAATACAATATATTGCTGCACAATATGGCAGTCACCCCCAATCCCCAATAAGTGGAAAAGACCCACATGCATTTATATTATTGGCATTGGGACAAAACCTCATACCTCCAAAATGGTAACTTGACTGGAGAAGGAAAAAACTCTTACATTTTAGTGGAAATTAATAAAGGAAGATATTTTTCTCAATAATTTTGGAACAATTCTACTGGTCCATTAATCATGAAATTGTGACTCAATGTAAAGAACAGCTGGCTTTTTCAAATTCTAAATAATGAAAAAATGAAAAAAGCAAAAATGACAAATGTCAGTGTGAGCACTCCACGTCAGCTGTCCAGTTTCAGACACAGACAAAAGACAACTCTTGTTAGGTGTGTGCTATTGTAAATGTAATAACATCAATTCCTCACCAAGAATTATTACAAATTTGGGACAGTATGTGAAATGCCAATAAAAAGAGAAAGCGTTAATTAGTCATTTTTGTTTGATCTGTATTAAATTGTAAACGCTACAAAAACAAAACATTTGATGTTTTGCTTTATAAACTTGATTTTTTGATAGATTTTTTTTTGTGTATATATATATATATATATATATATATATATATATATATATATATATTCATTCCAAACATGATGCCTGCAACACGTTACAAAATGGGATGGTAGCATGTTCACTGCTGTGTTACATCACTTTTCCTTCTAAAAGCATTTAAAGGTGGATTTTTTGTCATTCTCTAGTTATACATGTCTTTAGCTTTGCAACCATACAGGGCTTTCAAGTGTCAATATTAAGGGCAATATTTTGCTCTTCATAATGCGTTACTCTTTCAATGGGAGACTGGCAGGTCGGTATGGCACCTGCACTCTCATTACGCAGCCATGCTGTTGAAACACATGCAGAATGTTTTATTGGTGTTGTGTTGAAATAAGCATGGACGCCCCTGAAAAAGATGACATCTAAAAGGCAGCATATGTTGCTCCACAGTTTGCCCTTAATAGTGTTTTCACAGAACTTTTCTTCTGTGGCCCAGAGAAAGCATCCGGTATTTCCATAAACAATCTGAAAGACTGACTCGTCAGACACTTTTCTACTGTTTTGCTTATATTATGCATTTTAGAGGGTAAAATACCTAAAATCCTTGCAATTGCTCATTGAGGAAATGGGTTTTGTTATATTGCCGCATTTTTCCCTGATGCATTTTTTTGTAACATGGTGAGCCTTGACCCATTCTTGCTTAAAGTAATAGGCCTTTCCTGGATGCTCATTTTATACCCAAGTATGATTAGATCACCTGCTTAAAATGTTTTTTGAGCATTTCACAACACTGTTAGTCTCAAATTGCTCCTGTACTTTTTTGGAATGTTTTGCAGGTACCAATTTCAGAATGAGCGTATATTTAAAAAAGGTTGATATGATAAGACATTAAATATCTCGTCCTTGTTCTGTTGTTTAAACAGATATTAAAGTGGATTTACTTATAACTGCTTCCTGATTTATTCGCATTTTACATTATATCCATATGTTTCAGAATTAGGTCTGTATACTGTATACTGTAGCCTTTGAGCCTCATACCAACCAATTATGTTAATTTGCATTTTTAACTGTAAAATGTTATAACCATTTTAAAAATAATTTAGTATAATAAAGAAAATGCATCAAAAAATAATGATAAAACATAGTGTTTTCTTTTGATAGGTAACACTTCTTTGTTGTCATCAAGGATTTGGCCAATGCTGGACAGCTACTGGAATCCTGTAGAAACTCATATTAGTGCAGATAATGTTCATAAAAGAATGTTAATGCAATAATATCTCAATGTGCAGTTTTTCACGCAATATTTAAGACTATAGAACACAGTTCACATTATGTTTGGCAAATCCAGTAAGACTGCAAATCTGGTGTGAGAAAACACACACTTCAACTTAATAAACACATCACTGAAATGAAGACCCCATCTCTGAGCCAAAGTAGCTAACACGCTAACCACGAGCTAATGCGATAGCTAGCTAACGAGCTAGCTAACATGCTAACCGCTTGCTAACACGCCAACCGTCAACTAACGCGCTAGCTAGCTAACGTGCTAACACGCTAACCGCTAGCTAACATGCTAACACGCAAACCACACTAGCTAACAAGCTAACACACGTATCTCGAACTGACACGCTAGCTAACGTGCTAACACGCTAATCGCGAACTAATGCATTAGTTCAAAAACATTACTTAGAATCTTCACATGGGCCGGTCGGATGTGTAAATCATAAGATCATCCAGGCAAGCAGAACAATTTGGTACATCTGACAATACATTTACTAGTCTTTGAAACGTAGCTGGTGCATTTTAAGTCCTACTGGTCTGAACTAGACACTGCATAAAAGCATCATGAATCACTAAATTAGAGATATCTGATGCATGAGAAGTCAAAGGAACTTGCCAGTATCCTTTTAGTAAATCTAGCTTACTAACAAATTGAGCCGATCCCACATTATCAATACAGCCATCAATCCTAGGTGGACGATAAGAGTCAGGGACTGTGACATAACATGTCCATAATAGGTGCAAATGTGAATTGAACCATCAGGTTTGGGAACGAGTAAACAGGGTGTACAACTTGGTTTTGCTAAACCATGTTACAACAAGTAGGCTGCATCCTTTTTCATAGCTGCTGATTTCACAGGGTTAAGATGATAGGCATGCTGTTTAATTGGTTGCGGTAGTAACTTGTATATCATGTTTTAATACATTTGTCTGGGAAGGTACAACATTAAAAATGGAAGGAAAATTCCATATTAGGCTTTCAGTATCTGCTCTTTGTTGATCTGGTAGATGACCCAAAAGAGTAGAAAGGTCCTGCAACAATTCTGAATTTAAAAGTCTCCAAGAAGCTTGTGGAGCAATTCACAACTTTAACCTGTCTGTGTGGTGTCACTAAGGCCATCAGTCACAATGCCAGCTGAGGACAAAACCTTACTTTATGACAGTTTATCAGCGTGTTGATATGACAAATGTGTTTCTTACGTTTATGATCAGGATGCAGATGACATTCATTCTAAAGCACCCAGTTACCCAGGACGATATGGACTTGAGACTCGCTGAGTCACGTTTTAAGTGGCGGTGACGTGAGAACAACTTGGATAAGAAATTTGTACCGTGATCAGTCTGTACAGTTCTTGGCAGACCAAAGGCAGTAAATTACTTCATCAAAGCTCTAACTACAACTAGGGTTGTAATCTTTTGCAACAGAATAACTTCTGGAAAGTGAGTTGCAGCACACATGGTTGTTAACAAGTACTGATTTCCGGATCTGCTTTTAAGCATTGGACCCACATAGTTAATCAGCACTCTTTCAAAAGATTCCCCAGTTACAGGAATGGGAGAAAGCGGAGCAGAAGGAATAACCTGATTAGGCTTTCCTGCAGACTGACAAACATGACAAGAGCGACAAAACTCAGCTGCATCTTTCTGAAGACCAGGTCAAAAGAAATGTTTAAGAACATGAGAATATGTCTTGGTAATGCCCAAATGACCTGACCAGGGATGGCCATGTGTTGGCTGTAACACATGTTGTCTAAATGGAGTAGGTATCACTACCTCAGCTTCCTTAAAAGGAGGAACTGGTGCAATATGTTTACTAACATTAAATACAGGTGGGCTAATAGCAGACGGGATAGGGGCAGTTGCTAGCACAGCAGCTGCTGGGAAGACCCCAAGGGAGAAGGAGGAGGTTTTAATGCATTGTCTGGCTGGGCAATGGGATAAGAAGCATCTTTATTGCTTATATTTCCAATTCCCGCTGTTGGAACTCCTGATCAACCTCAAGCTCCATCCTCCGGACAGCCAACTTAAACTCCAGCTCTGTTTGTTGTGCTTGTGCTTTTCCCTGAGCCTCCGATTGGAGACGCATAACCACACCCCAACACAAGCCTCCTCAAATGATCATAAAGACAGAGGCGAAAGAGGGTCAAAGTGAGGCAAGGTTGTTCTGCCATCAACCTCAGGTTTAGCTTGCTAAGTAGCAACAGGAGTCACCACCTTCTCAATGTCACTCTCCACGATAGTAGTAGTACCAGCAGGTGGGAGACTTCTTAAAACACTTACCTCCCTCAACTTAACAATGACCTAACTCATAATGTCTGTCTTAATGGACTGTTTAACTACCTGAACTCCATAATGTACAGTTAATGCCAGTAAATTATCCTTTCGACACTTATCAATTACTTCAAGGCTTGGTGAAGCAATAAACATCTGTAAATCAAAGATTGTCATCCCGCACACATACGTGTAGTCACCACACTGGTGCCAAAGTGCCAATGCACACACTGACTCACAGTTCTATCCTGGACAAGCCCCCAGATGTTACGTTATCACAAAAGGCTAGAGCTGAGTGTGGGAACAGTAACATGTGTGCAGTGAGTGGATAGAAAAAAGCTAGTCAGTGAAGTAACCAACAAGGTACTATAATTGTGTGTTTATTTATAAACACAGTCACAAAACCAGAAAACTCCACAAAGCCACAGAACCGCCCAAAAGGTGAACAGACACTGATAGACAGATGGATCAGTGAAAATGTATTCTGTGGAGTGACGAATCACACTTCCCTGTCTGACAGTCTAAGAACGTTACCTGCCTGACTGCATTGTGTCATCTGTAAAGTTTGGTGGAGGAGAGATGATGCTATGGGTTGTTTTCAGGGGTTGGCTTAGGCCCCTTAGTTCCAGTGAAGGGAAATCTTAATGCTTCAACAGACCAAGACATTTTGGACGAATTGTATGCTTCCAACTTAGTGGGAACAGTTTGGGTAAGGCCCTTTTCTGTTCCAGCATGACTGAGCCCCAGTGCATAAAGCAGTGTCCATAAAGGTATGGTCGGGTGAGTTTGGTGTGAAAGAACTTGACTGGCCCACACAGAGCCCTGACCTCAATCCCATCAAACACCTTTGGGATGAACTAGAACAGAGAGTGCAACATCAGTGTCTGACCTCACAAATGCTCTTCAGGATGAATGGGCAAAAATTCCCACAGACACACTTCAAAATCTTGTAGAAACGCTTCCCAGAAGAGTGGCAAAGGGGGGACCAATTCCATATTAATGCCTATGGATTTAGAATGGGATGTCATAAAAGCTCCTGTAGGTGTAATGTGTAGGTGTCCCAATACTTTTGTCCATATACTGTACAACTATAATAACCTGCGTTCAGTAATATCGTTCAGAATAGGATAGGAAATGAACATTTAAAACATGAACGCAGGTCTTCTAGAAGTATATGCACACACACACACACACACACACACACACACACACACACATACATACATATGTAACTCATATGTTTATGAGTAATCAACTGGCAAAAATTCATTTTGATGTCTGCTGTTTAAAAAAAATTACACTATTCACCTGTAGTGTGTCACCTTTTCAAGTGTTGCTTTATTGCCCAACACTCCTTTCTGCTGTATCACAGCGTGGGTGGACAGATAGTACCTGTGTTTGTACCTGTGTTGAAGAGCTACTTTCCATGTAAACAGGAATCGAATGAGATATCCTGCTGTCATGTTAGCTTATGATTTAAAACCATCTCTCATGCCTCCAACTGTCTTTTCCCACTTTCTTCTCTCTCTGTGTACACTCCTGTAGGGTACATGTTGGAACAGCAGGATGCGGTGTGTGTACAGCACTGTCCAACAGGGTTCTATGCTAACAGCTCAAGCCAGCAGTGTGAGAGGTGCTCAGCAAACTGTGAAGTGTGTGAGAGCGGAGATAAGTGTGTCAGCTGCAAGACTGGCATCTATCAGCTCTTTCTCTTCCAGGGCAGCTGCTGGTCAGAGTGCCCAGAGTGAGTGACCATCGCTAAAAGTATTGTGACTAATGATGAATGAAGCAACCATTTAACATCTCATTGACCTTTTATTTGTTTTTTAGCAGCATTAGCATTTTCGGTGAAATATTTCTTAAAGACACAAGGCTTTTAGCATGTGTTGAAACATCAAGCTCTAAATTATGTTGTCATTAACCTACTGTTTACCTGTAAGACTATGTCTGTCATGAGTACTTGAGTAAACTTGATTACTCAATTATTATTTTAAAAAATCTAGTGTTAAAATTGGTCTCAATTAATCAGCAATGATTCTTTGGCAGTTTGCATGATGATATTGCATATTTTCAGTTCTCCTACTGCTCTCTCTTAACAATAAGAAACAGCCTGATGAGCACACCCTCTAATAAGCATTTTGCGCTGCATAGTATTTTACATACATACATACATCATCTAAACCGCTTATCCTTCTGGGTCACGGTGGGGTGCTGGAGCCTATCACAGTCATTGGGCGGAAGGCAGGATACACCCTGGACAGGTCGCCAGTCCATCGCAGGGCAGACAGACAGACATACACAGTCACACCTAGGGGCAATTTTAGCACGTCCAATTGGCCTGACTGCATGTTTTTGGACCGTGGGAGGAAACCCACGCAGACAAGGGGAGAACATGCAAACTCCACACAGAAACAACCCCGGTCGCCCGGCCGGGAATCGAACCCAGGCCATTCTTGCTGTGAGGCGACAGCGCTACCCACTGTGCCACCGTGCCGCCCTGCATAGTATTTTTATATTTTTAAAATCTTTTTAAATCTTTGCATAGTTTTCTGTTGTTCAGTTAAAACCAATATTATTGTTTAGCTTTTTAAAAAAAAATCATATTACTCAAATAACCATCAAAATAGACACTCTAAAATAGTGCCATCACTATATAAGACAATTGTATAGAACTGGCAGTGGCGAGCCATTCGAACTAAGCCTTCAAGTCCCATAAATGTCACAACTCAGTCAAAACGAGGAAAAACCCACCTCTACGACAGTGCTAATTTCTGCTAACACCCCTGTGGGATTCTAGTAGTTTGTTAGTGCTAAGCTAAAGGTGATTCGCATTAACATTTTTTGGCTGTTCTAGATTAAACATGTACATTTGAAGCTTCTAAAAAGCATTCCATGTTTTATTCAAAGCTTGTGACAGACATATTAACATATATTTTACCTTGCAGCAGTTTCACAGGCCTGGTACAGAGCTGCCGTCGCTGTTTTCCATTTCTAGCAACCCATTGATTAGGCTGCCGCTCGTATTCAGTCAGTTTCAAATCTGTGACTTCCAGAAGGTCTAGAGTGACATTCTTCCTCACAAAATTGGTCCCGGCCTATTGGAAATCAAAATGTGATTGGTTGATTCCTCTGTCACTTTGTAATTATGCTGACAGTTAATGTAATGCATTAGGCCTTCTCTTTAGCTCTTGAAGTCCTAACCAATAAGAGAGCTTGTTAGGCTACATCTATCTAGATACTACAGAGAAAAAACAATTCTCAGCTTGTCGATTGAAGAATTTAACCCTTTTGTTTTCATCCAGAATTTAACAATGAGACAGGAGTAGTACTGTACTATTGACACAGTTTAAATACCAGAATGATTATATTGAATAAAAATTTACTAAAAATTACATTATTTTAATTCCCAGAAATCGCTAGGCCTTCTGTGAAGGTCTTGTAGGCCCTGAGGGTTCATCTCTGAGAACAGGGGTCACAAAGTTGTCCACAAAGAGCCAGTGTGGTTGCAAGTTTTCATCTCATCCAAGCAAGAACACACCTCCTATAAGTCATCATTTGTGGAATCAGGTGTGCTTCTCCTTGCTTAGAATAAAAACCTGCAGCCACACCAACCCTTTGCAGATAAGATATGTGACCACTGGTATGGTACAACCTTTAAGATTTTTGGTGGCATTTCCATGTACATCTGTCTTTCCTACATGTTATGTCTGTGGTGTATGTGTGTCTTTAGTGGTTATTTTGAGACGGAGGATGGGACGTGTGAGCCTTGTGATGACCTCTGCTTGACCTGTGATGGGAGTAGGTCGCAGTGCCTGGCGTGCAGAGAGGGTCTCTTCTTGGAGAATGGCATCTGCAGACAGAATTGCTCCCTCAGGAGTTATTCTTCTGAGGACGGTACCTGTCGACGCTGCGGCCCTCACTGTGAAATCTGCACAGATAACAATACATGCTCCAGTGAGTGACCAGAACTTCAATTATAGAGACACAACATGTTTCTAAAGAAACAGTTCAATAATCATTTAGTCCATTTTAGTTTCTTATGATCATGTGTTTAGTTTAAACAATTAAAATACCAAGCTTTCTATTGTACTCATCTTGTGTTTACTCCAATTAAATGTTCTCACCTTTTATGAATATTATTTGTGCTTCTGATTATTGCAGGGTGTAGTTTTCTCTACCTGCTCTTGAATGGCATGTGTAAAGCCAGTTGTCCAGAGGGTTACTTTGAGGACTTGGATCAGGGCCTGTGTGTTCGCTGCCATGTGTCGTGTGCCACGTGCTCTGGCCCTCTCCCAGATGATTGCGAGAGCTGCTCTGCTCTTGCCCCGAAGCTGTATGAGGGCACATGCTCAGAGGACTGCCCAGCAGGCACCTACTACCAAACCTCCAGCATGGAATGCCAAGGTGAAGTCATGATCCATGTTACACACTCCAGGACAAAAAAGGGGCCTCCTGTACCAAATAATACCAGATCAGATTGTGTACTTCAGTGTGATAAAGCACCTTAGGAAAAAAATCCCAAGTGACAATTAATATATTATTAAATCTTAGTATATATATTAGTATTATATATCATTATGTATTCTCTATTCTATTATGTAATCTCGTCTGGCTGATGATATCTGGCAGCTGCATTGCTGAACTGGCCATTTTGCTGTAACTTTTATGGTAAAAACTGATTGCTTATTAAAATACACTGGTCCTCAGTGTGTCTACATATTTGCAAAAAAGAACAGCAAGAAAAAAAAGAAAATACTCAGCAAAAGAAAAAAGCTCTGTTTGGTTACTCTATTTTACACTCTTTATAGATTAAATATTATGACTTTGTTGACCTTTAGACTTTGTGAACAAAGTGATCCTTATCTTTATTACTGTTAGAACTGGACCTTTGTTGCTTTTTATTGTTGTAATGCTACTAACCTTTTGTGCATTACATTGTTGTATCCGTGCCCAGTTTTGTTCTTACTGCTAGGAATCAGAAAGTGATCTGTGGCTTAAGTATTGTTTTTGATCACCTACTAAACCAGGCAAAAGTTTAGACACATCTACTTAGCCTACTGTTTTACTATTTTTAAAATAAAAGTGAAGATGACAATTTATGACGTACCGCATGTAATAATGCAATTACTGTTTAAAAAAAACTGTCTTGCAAGATTCTTGAAGTAGCCCGTTTTTTCCTTGAACTTTAATCACTCTTGGCATTGTCTCAAGCAGCTTCATGGGGAGCCACATGTAATCCTTTTTCAACAGTCCTGAAGAAGTCCCACATATGCTGAGTCCCTGATGGCTGCCGAAAACTACTTTTTACGGCAAAGCAAGAAAATAATAATTAAAAATGTTCATTTTGGAAAGTATATTCGTGCATGTGCATGATCTGCACTATTTATATATACATACATATTGTATGTAAAATTTCATGATCAAGTCAAGTTGAGAGGTTTTATTGTCATTCCATCTATGTACAAGTACACAGTGGAGCGAAATTACTTTCCTCCAGAAACAAGGTGCAACATGGAACAAAATACACATTGTTCAAAAAACAGCAACAAGTGGCACATAAGAAGTTGACAAGAATATACACAAAATGTCATACTCTTTAAACTGTTGACTGTTCACTGGAAAGATGTATTTGCTTTGGTGAGGTTGAGGTATAATAACACTTAACCACATTTAAACAGCAATTTGCATGTTTTGCAGGCTGCTTTTCGGAGTGTTTACCAGCTTGTTCTGTGTCTTTTACTGCAGAATGTCACCGGACATGTGCTCGGTGTGTGGGCCCGGAGCCCACCCAGTGCTTGCAGTGTGAAAAGGGCTTGGCACTGGACCCCAACACCATGATGTGTGGTGTGACCGGAGACTCTGACTGCCCACCCAGAACCTTTCTCCATGACAACCAGTTCACATGCCAGGCGTGCCATCGCCACTGCCAGTCCTGTGAGGGGCCAGGTCCTGCAGACTGCCAGACGTGCACCCTGCCCCGATACCTCCACAGTAAGAGCCCAGTGACCTTGCCCAGTTACACTTTCTCTTGTTATAAGGTGTTCCTTTGTTCTACAGCAGTGGTTGAGTGAAGGATGAGTGAAGAAACACATACTAAGTTGTAGAAAAATTGTCACTGCTGTGGTTAGCAGCAGTTTTAAGTTACCAGCTTACTTCTCTGTTGTATACACTGTATGCCCAGACACCCTCATTCAATTTCTCTTCTTAAATCAAGGGTATTAATAGGTAGTTCTTCCTTTGTTACTATAACAGCCTCTACTCTTCTGGGAAGGCTTTACACTAGATGTTAGAACACTGCTGTGAATTCAAGCACAAGTATTAGTGAGGTCAGGTACTGATGTTGGATGATATGGAGCTGCATCACTCCAGAGAATGCTGTTCCACTGCTCCACAGTCCAACACCTGGTGGCTTTATACCCCTGTAGTCGATGCTTGGAGCTATATAAAGTGATCCAGGGCTTCTGCGTGGTTGCTCCACAGTATCCCATTCTGTTGGTAGTGCTTTTCTGTGGAGATTAAACAAGCTGTGTATGCACAGTTGAACACCTGTGTCAGCTATGACACGCTGCTCCTTAAAGTAGCTGAATTTAGTAGTAAGAAGGGGTGTCTGGTTACGAATAAGGCAGCAAAACTATTAATATGCTAAATGATTCAACATTTCGGAACAGTGTTATAAGCAGTAGGTAGGACAGCAGAAAAACAGGTGACGCCACCCAAAATTCCCAGATTTTTCCCTAATTCTCCTCAATTGTATGTCATATATGCATTTTTAAGTGCTGTAGGCTTCATAAGGTGCAGAATTCTGAACTACTTCCTGATTGTAACATGATAAACCTTATAATTAACATAATTTCAATGATAAACAGTAGCTGTTATTAGATATATATACTGCATCACCACAATAGAATTAACCCTCCTATTTCAGACAAGACATTAACAGTTTAATTAAAAGTGTGAGTTCAAGTACTTTCATTAAGGCAACCAGTCAAATTAGCTCTGCTAGTTAGTCACCTCACAGGGTATACAGAGGAATATTTGAGGTGTGATTATGACAAAGATTTTAATGAGAGATAATAGTGAAATACTATAGTCCTGTCCAACAACAATGTGATGTCTGGCAAATGAGGAAACGTGGGAAACATTGCGCTTTCAGGAAAGGCTCTTATATCAAACCAGCAGCAGTGGAGTACCACCACCCAGCGCTAACCCCAACACAAAACAGAGGCTGGGGGTAACATATAGGGGCATGACACATGGGGAGAGTAGACACATAAATACAGACTTACAGCCCACCCTCCCCAGACCAATTTAACCCACCTAACAAGCTGCACTAATAATGTCCACTCAATAACAACTATTTATAGTAAAAGGTCTCTCACTTGAGGTCCAGTGCTTTCCCAGGAGGCTCTGCACGTCGTTGGCCAAACAAACCAATAGTGTTTATGGAAGCTATTGCATGATGGTATTAGACAGAACTAAACGGTTTTCAATGGTGCAGCAGTTAGTTGGAAATAAGATAAAATTATAATATAATCTTTAAGTTAATCTGGTTTTAAAGTAGTTCCTGTTGAGTGTATCTTTTGCAAATATTACTTCTTGTCAAATCTTGTCTGTTAAATTTTAGGGATGTGTCAGTGTTTATATTTGCGTTTTATGTGTCTATTTGTTGTGTGTTTTGTGTGTGTGTGCTGCAGATAGCTCATGTGTGATGGAGTGTCCGGATGGCACTTACAGCGCTCATGAGGAGGCTGATGGGGTTGAGTTGGGTTTCTGTATGCCTTGTGATCATGTGTGTGCCACTTGTTCTGGAGCTTCTCATAACGACTGTCTGAGCTGCTCTCCGGGCTACCTGCACCTACTCTCTCATCTCTGCGTCACCCACTGTCCCACAGGGTAAACCTTACACCATACACACAGCCATCAAGTTCATACAGCACTGGGCCAACAGTTGTAGCTCACCTCTGACAACACATTTAAGATATCGTCACTCTCGGAAAACAAAACCTTGTATCTCCAAAATGGTAGATTTACAGGAAAGGGAAAAAAAACATTCATAATGTATAATGGAAGTTATACTTTTGGACTATTTCTCTTGATCCACTCATCATGACATTTTCACATAATTTAAACATCAGCTGGTGTTAAAAAAATGGCAAAAATTGAGAAGTTTTGTTCCAACATCAATGATAGGTAGGTCTTTGCGTAAAATGTTGTAACTAATTATCACTTAATTTAGTCTATGTTCACATGTTATACTACTACTACTACTACAAATACTACTTCTACTACTACTACTACTACTAATACTAATAATAATAATAATAATAATAAGGGAGTGTGAGTAGACTCTTGGATCTAAGGGTATGAAGAGGAGCTAAAGGGAAGGAGCTTCCCAAGTTATGCTGGGGCAAGACCATGAAGGGTTTTCAAAGTAGAGAGCAGTATTGTATATTTAATACCTGAGGATACAGGTAAGCTCTGGCAAAGCATGGGGGTAAATGGGGCAGATTTTTAGATGTAAGTAAGCACTCTAGCCACAGACTTTTTGAATGATGTTTGTCATTAGTTTTTTCCAGTAAGAAAAGTTCCGGTCCATGCTTTCATATTCTCCTGTGTTGATTAGTGTAATTCTCTTTTTTATTGATCTTCAGGCTAAATACACACTAAACACATTTCACAAAAATATGTACTATTTTACTTAAAAAGGTAAATTAACCAGGCTGCCTTAAAATCTAGAATAAACTTTAGATAATGTATTGACAGGACATCACACACCAATTATTGGAAAGTTAACTTACTTTTGAAAGTTAAATGAAAAAAATCTTCAGTATAAAGCTCGCTTTGCAGTGGGCAGACAAATGGTGTTTAATCAGTGTAGTGTAATTTTTTGATCTTAAAAGTTGCACAGAACAAGGACCAGTTGTCACATGGCCCTAAGTAAGTATAACTTTCCGGGTGTGAAGTCTTCCTGTTAAGATGTCTTGCAGAATTCCAGTAAACATACACGAGTTTAGAAGTTACGTCATCATCCTGGTTTGTTCAGTTCTGTGCTTACAAAAGACGTTCTTGCCAAAGTCCATGCCAAACAGTGATCTGTGTATGAACTCTACTGAGCAAATATCATTGCTGAATATTGTCTGCCCCAATGAAGTGTATGTTTCCGAACATTTCACATTATCATGTGTTGAAGTTAAATTGATTTCTCAGCATCTGAGTTATGATAGAAGCAATTACTGATAATGACATTAGATAAGGCAGGGCAAATATTGGCTTGTCAGTGAGCAGCTGGTGGACTTGGCTGCCCTGTAAAGATCAGCATGATAAAACATTTCATAGAACTTTTTCATTCTGGTGAGTTTTTTATGTTTGTTCTAGCAGAAAAATTATGGTGAGATGTTTCTTTCTTTCTTAGTTAAAAGGGTTCTATATAACACCAAAGAAGATTCTTGTAGCATACTGAAACCTTTTTGGTGCTGTATGGAACCATTTAAAAAAAGTTCTTTAAAGAACCATATACAACATGTTTTTCATCATAGAGAAGAATCGTTTAACCGCTGAAACCATAATTTATGCATTCAAATAGGTCTTCGAGCGTTCATGGTTCAATATATACCATTTCCTTTACTAAACAACCCTTGAAGAACTGCTTTTAAGGTTTATGATAACACTACCAACTCTAAACACTGCTACATTATTTGGGTATTACAACCACATTAATTGGTGTTACAGTGTTTTGCCAGTGAGTTTTACCCTTAGTTTTTAGCCCATTTTATTTATATTGTGTTGTTATTTTATTCAAAATAAAAATTAATACAGTTTAGTCAGCAAGAATCACCACTAAGTGTAGTCATAACACTCATTACACACTATACTAGGTATTTTTATTCTTCATCTGTACATAACAGGCTGACATAGCTTTTACGGTTAAGTGTTAAACTGCACTGTGGAACCAACTGAGTGTTAAACCCTATGTACGTTCTGTCAGCCTTTATTGGCCTGTTTAATAAACAGCCTGGTTTAGACCAAATGCAGTTGTTTGCTTGATATTTTTAGGATACCCTTAATAAAGCAGATATGAATAATATTATGTAGATACGCTATATAGACAAAAGTATTGGGACACACCTTTTAGTTACTGAGTTCAGGTGTTTCAGACATACCCATTGCTAACAGGTTGATAAAATTAAGAACTATGCCTTGGAGTCTCAGTTGACAAACTCTGGCAGTAGAGTGGGTCATACTGATGAGCTCAGTGACTTTAAACGTGGCACTGTCATAGGATGCCACCTCTGCCACAAGTCAGTTTGTGAAATTTCCATCCTGCTAGATCTGCCCCTGTCAACTGTAAGGGCTATTATTGTGAAATGGAAGCACCTTGGAGCAACAACAGCTCAGCCACAAAGCAGTAGCGAGCGAGTACTGAAGTGCACAGTGCCTATCCTCTATTGAGTCACCCACGACAAAGTTCCAAGTTGCTTCTGAAAGCAACATCCACAAAAGAGCTGTGCATCAGGAGCTTCACGAAATGGATTTTCATGGCCGAGGAGCTACACACAACCCTAAGATTCTGTGGAGTGACGAATCACACTTCTCTATCTGGCAGTCTGATGGATGAGTCTGGGATTGGCGAATGTCAGGAGAACGTTACCTGCCTGACTACATTGTGCCAACTGTAAAGTTTGGTGGAGGAGGAATAATGCTACGGGGTTGTTTTTCAGGGGTTGGCCTAGACCCCTTAGTTCCATTGAAGGAAAATCTTAATGCTTCAGCAGACCAAGACATTTTAGACAGTTGTATGCCTCCAACTTTGTGGGAACAGTTTAGGGAAGGCCTGTTTCTGCTTCAGCATTACTGTGCCCCAGTGCAGAAAGCAAGCTCTATATAGGCATGGCTGGGTGAGTTTGGTGTGGAAGAACTTGACTGGCCTGCACAGAGCCCAGACCTCAACCCTATCAAACACCTTTGGAATGATCTAGAATGGAGATTGTGAGCCAGGCCCTCTCGTCCAACATCAGTGTCTGACCTCACAAAGCTCTTCTGGATGAATGGGCAAAAATTCCCAATGACACACATCAAAATCTTGTAGAAGCTTTCCCAGAAGAGTAGTATATCTGCAAAAGGGGACCAATTCCACATTAATGCATATGGATTTAGAATGAGATGTCATAAAAGCTCCTGTGGGTGTAATGTGTAGGTGTCCCAATACTTTTGTCCATATAGTGTATCTCCAAATAGGATATCTACAGGTTCACCAGTCCTTTCAATAAAATGCTGCCTAATAAATGATGCTCCAGAGAAATGCTGTTTAATACTGTCTAATTTAGTGACCTAAAGTTTACACATTTGAGCAATTCAGGGAGTTTACTAGTTATCAGTAAGCCAACTTCTGAGAATAAACAGTGGTGCCAAAAACGTGACATATACATTACAGGTCAGCTTTCGATTCATCACTCTCCTAACTCTCGTAGTCTTACAACTTTTAGGAAAACGTCCTTAAAATTCTTTACTTTCAGTGTGAGTTAATACGTAATTTTTGATATTGTATTTGTATTTTATATTTGTCATAAAATGTCATGAATGTCTGTTTGTCATGACATGTTCACACAATATAAAGCAAAAGTGCCATTTTCAGATTCTGTGGAAAAAACAAACAAACAAACAAAAACAAAAACTGGGGTGTATTTTATATACATACATGGGTGTCGGACCGGGATGGAGGACCTGACTAACCAGGGCACTGCCTGGATGTGGGGTCCTCCAAAAGCCTCATAAATTAATTGATTTTGGTTTCTCATTTTGCTGATTTTGACATTTGGTATTATAAGAAAAAGTTCTGCTTGTCTGCCTGTTGTTTCTTTTATCTTATCTGCCTGATGTTTCTTTTATCTGCTTATCTGCCTCTGTCTGCTTCCTGGTGTGATTTTAGTAATTTTTTTCACTATATTGGCAGATAATTTTACTTGATTAAGAAACATGCTTGAAGCCAGCAAAATTATCTGCCATGTAGTGAGAAAATTATACTTGAAATTACTTAACGCAAGTAAAAATGCCCACAAATAAGTGACCTTGTCTTTGGTTACATGTGGTTGGAAGATACATACTGTCAAAACTGAAAACTTATTAGTGACTGTGTCTCTGTCAGTGGATCTCAGTTCTTTGTTGCTGCCTCTCCTTGCTGCAGCATCTGTTCCCTGTTTGAAACTGGCAGTAAAGAGATAGTTTTGCCTGGGGTCTGTATCTGGTACATCTGTATTGTAGCGGCCCATCTTCTTTTACAATTTATTAGATATTCTAATGTCTAGATGTTGGTTTATCTAAATAAAAATTAAAGTGTTATGTTGTATTATGCAGAAATGAACATGTCTTTTTAAGTATGAGGTGCTTTTATCTTCAGGTATTACAGTACAGGCGAGCATTGTGAGAAATGTGACGAGTCGTGTGAGCTGTGCACAGGTCCGGGTCCAGAAGCCTGCAGGGTGTGTGTTCCTCCTCTTCTGGAGCTGCAGGACACTAGACTGTGTGTTGAGCGCTGCCCCCAACGCTTCTATCAGAGTGGACACAGCTGCAGGCAGTGCCACACCAGCTGCCAGACCTGCACAGGTAAAGTTGACATACACAAAAGGCCCTCAGATATGGTTATATTAAGCACCCATAATTAAATGCTTCCAATATTATCACTCATTTAGTTTTATATCAACATTGTCTGTGTAAAGGATCTGGGTGCCTGCCCTGATCTGGCAGGATGTGTGTTCACTAATGGATTATGAATTATAGATCTCTGCGTTGTGGCCTTATGTTTCAAGGGTTTTATTTGCTGTATGTGCAAGTTCTTCAAGAGGCTGCAATGAATCCAAGCAGACAATAAACACCTTATATACAGTATACAGTGCAAGGCCAAGATGTATTGTATCTTTAAACCAGAGTCAACATTGCACATATGGGACTGGGATTTTGAGACACAGCTTACATCTGTTCCCAAACTGAAAAGGCATTGATTCATCTCCTAAATGTTTAATGATGCACTGTAAAAATTAAAACTCAGCTCAACTTTAACTTATAGGGTAATGTATTACACAGCTTTTCTTCAGTTAACTTGAGGACACTGGAGTTCACCTAATTCAGACTTTGTTCAGTCAGAAGTTCTACTAAGTCATTTTTTTCTCAGGTAGGCAAATAATATAGAAGTTCTTTTTTTAACTCAGTTTCCCGTATAGCTGGGACTTTTTCTATCACACGGTGCCACCAAGCATTTTGATATGAAACTATATATGACAAAGAGTTTAACATACATTTGTTGGCCTGTGTTGCATTTTTTGTTGTTGATGTTACCTCAACAAAAATGTGAAAAATAGTGAGTTAAAATGTTCATTTTAGTTAGCCCAACAAAACTGGCCTCAGGACTAGGAAAATATGAAATAAGTAAATAGGAAAACTTAAATATCCAAGCGTTGCAGTTTAATTTAACTTCAGTTTTGAGTTAATTGAACAGCAAATACTCAGAAAAATCATCATTGAACATTAAAATGTAATTTGTTAGAGGCAGATCCTAATCAGTCTCCAGAAAACAGGTCTGAACACTGTTTGTTGTAAAATTTAGCAGGCTTGTACAGGCAATACCCTATCCTAGTTGGATTATAATTGCAGTATATTTACACAATATACTGTAATTTGTATTCAACTAGAGACTTAGTATTAGAATTTTAAACATGGTCCATTCTTTTTAGTGTATTCACAAGAATAATGATAAATAGGCCTCCACAGTACACTCCTGCGCTGGATATTCTGTAGAAGCTTTAGCTTATCTTTATATCAAGGAATGTAACCATTTGTTGAAGTAGTTTTTTTTATCTTAGGAAGTGTTTTTTGTTGATTTGATAAGGCAGAACATTTTTCTGTTCATTTCTTAGCTGATACTTCTCAGATAATGCGTTTTAAATTTTAACAAAGCAAAAGCAAGAAGTAGTAAGAATTGTCTTACAGGAAGCCAGGGCTAGAATATACTTGAGTAATTGCACTTCATTACTTAATTGTACTTATGTAGTATTTAAAAAAAATATATATACTTTACTTAAATATTAGTGAACTTGAATACTATTCAGTTACATTTCCAAGAGAGAAAACATACTTTGTACTGCTTTCATTTAGTTTTGAACCTTCAAAGTACTTAAGTACAAATCTTAAAAGCCATGACAGTTTTCTTTTTTTTATTTTCTCTTAACAGTCATTCACATTCCCATGCATTTTTTAAAAATTAAAACAGCCAGTCAATTTCATGTCAATGTATAAGGAAGCTGCCAACAACAATGATAATTCCTCTTTGTCCAAGTGCCAGCACTGCCCATTAGTAACATCACCATACTTGTGGGCTGCACTGCTGAACAAGATGAGGCATAGGAGTGAAGTATTTTACTGCAGCACAGAGAGTGAGTGAAGGAAATGCTGGGCAATGCGGTAGTTATGATAGTATCATATGTGTGTTTAAAGTGTGTGTTAGCGAGTAAGATGTCTAGTCTGTGTGACTTACGGTGTAATCTGCTCATGTTCAGCATTTAAATGACTTTAATATAAAGAATTTTCCTCCCTCTTATATGTTGAAAGATTTATTTAACATTTAAGATTTTTTTATTACATAAACTTGATTATGTTTTAATGTAGTTGCTTTTCTGCTTTCACAAAAGAATATTTTTGGCTCCATACTTCCACTTTTAACTGAGTAAAATTTTAACACAAACTCAATACTTAAGCACAATTTGTCCTTTGTTCTCGTTTATGTGGCCCATATCCTGCATTTTATTGTATTTTTTACTCTGAGGTCCACTTATACATTTATGTGGTTTTATGCCAAAAACATTCAGAATTCATTTTTAAAAAATGACCTCTCTGTATTACTTAGACTTAAACAGGCTGTTTTTGTTACTGTTCCTTTAAGATTGATATATGTAAATGATGCCTGCTCTGATTGGCTGCCCTGTATTGTGCATAAAGTAAGTGTGAGTGACTGGGGCTAAACTACTAGGCTGAATAGGAGGATATGTGTAGATATGTTGGTTTTCTTGGCATCACAAAAACAATGAATTCAAAAGGGCTGTTATTACAGCTTTGTTTCCATATACAGACTTTATCAGCTGGACAGTGGGCGGTATGTTTTCAAACTTTAACAGTACTTACATACCACACCAAACATCTTTTTAGGATAATTGAGTTCCTTCTCCATTATTTTTGTTTACACTGGGTGCAAGATTCACGTTATCTGATCTCCCTCTCTACACTGTTAACATAATTACTAATTGCGGTTATGTTTTCAGATAACACACCTCTGAGCTGTGTGACTTGTGATTGGGGCAGCGTCCTGCAGGATGGAGTGTGTTATCCATACTGTGAAGAAAGCCGTTACTTCTCTCAGAGTGTAAGTACTGTATCTGTGAGTGCGTGTGTCAACAAAGTGTGTCAGTTTGAAAAGATGGTGTTTAAAGGGGAAAATCGACAGACTTGCAGTGTCTTGACAGTTAACCAATAAAGTTTCATCAAGGTAAAACTAAACATAGAAGTGTTAATTACTGATTTCTGCATTAAAGTGTCTCTCAATCAGCACTACAGTGGCTTTGCAACCATTTATTTGTTTGACATTTACAGCAGATGCTCTCATCCAGAGCAACTTACAAAAAGTGCTTTGTCTATCTAGAGAAAGTATCTTTGCTAGTTACCAATAGGTTAGAGAGAAAGCTAGTCCTGAACTCAGATACTGCTAGAAACAAAAAGTCCCTGTGGAACAGAGTTAAACACAGCACAGTGCAATACAATACAATACATTTCAATAAGTGCAGTACAATACATTACAATGAGTTCATAACTCAGTGCTCATTTAAGTGCTGTATGAAGAAATGTGTCTCTGACTCTGCTGTACGGACAGCCAGTGGAAGTTCGTTCCACCACCTGGGTGCCAGTACAGAGAAAAGTCTTGATGCTTGTCTTCCATGCGTCTTGAAGGATGGCGGGTGAAGCCGAGCTGTACTCGAAGCTCGAAGGGCTCGTGGTACAGTTTGAGTTTTGGCCAATGCCATCAATGAGGGAGGGGCTGGTCCGTTTTTGGCTTTGTAGGCAAGCATCAGGGTTTTAAATCTGATGCGTGCGGCTACAGGAAGCCAGTGAATGGAGCGCAGCAGTGGGGTGACGTGGCTGAACTTAGGGAGATTGAAGACGAGCTTGAGAATCAAGAAGTGTGTAGCTTTATTCTCGAATTGTAAATGGAAGGGCCATGTGAAACCTTGCATACCATGTGGAGAGAAAGAATAATAAAAAATACTTCAAGCAGTTATAAAAGCAGTTGTTATATTTAAGCCAGTCAGTAAACAGTAGTTGTACCTAAACTCATGCATCTGTTTGGTTGTTGCAGTATTTTCCACTGTTCTAACAGAGGAACATGTATGTGAAAAGTTTTTATAGATATTAGTTGTCTCTCTCTTGTTGGACAAGTATGTGTGAGGAGAGAGAGTATTTGCTATTTTGGATGGAAAAATAGATGGTTCTTTAGTATGTACTAAAATTACCTCCAGGAAGGCGTTTCTGATCATTAGGTATGTGTATTGTGTTTCGTACTGACAAATTCCTAATGCAAGCTGTGTATGGCAGATAAACCTGATTTTGATCACAGTTTGTATTTTGTTAGTATTTGTATTACTGTTTGTATTACTTTTTCTTATTTATTATTTTTATTTAAGAAAAAAAGAGCAATATATTGAGTCTCTCACTATTACTCTGTACTTTTTCCCCACACAAAGTGCAAAGGCCCAATGATATTGCATGGTTCGATGTTTAGATCACCATTCCATTTAATAACATTTACATTAACATTACATGCCGTCTATGCAGCTTAGTCCAACATGATATCAATATTGTTATTAGTCTGAATACCTAACATATCCTTTTGACTGTGTGTGTGTGTGTGTGTGTGTGTGTGTATGCTCATGTTACATTAACAGGAGGTGTGTGAGCCCTGTGATGACTCCTGTAAGCACTGTGCCAGTGCTGGACCTGAGAGCTGTCTGACCTGCCACACTGGTTTTGGTCTTCTTGCTGTGGCTGGCCGCTGTTTGCCCTGCTGCCAGCCTGAGGAGACAGCCAGAAACTGCTGCCTCTGTGACTCTGCTTCAGGTGTGCTATAAACAGACTTCATCATTCTGCCTCTTTAAAAGCAATGTTTGTTTCTGAGGGATGCTCCTATATAATGTATGTGTTTCTGCTCAGACTTGACCTAAAGTTCTCCAGATTCAAAATTAGTCCTCTCTGCAATGATGTGTAAATAACTACTTTAACACAGGTCACTTTTCTACACACCTTTTGGGTTCAGTCATACAGGCCTAACCAGCTTTGTCTGCATTTACTAGAAGTTTTCCTTGGTCTTTTTGATTTACTTTGTTCTGGTGTTACAGTTTCTCAGTGTTTCTGAAATGTTGTTTCAGAATTAGTTTCATTTCTTATCAGTGAATTTTTTTCACTGGAACTGCTTAGGAAGTAACCAGTAGAAACGAGAACAAAGTAGAAAAGAATAGTTATGGACATATTAGAAGTTCGAAGTTCATTTAAAGTTATAGGTCATCCTTAGAATTGTCACAACACTCGTAAAAAGGGTTCTGTTCCACTTGCAGAATGTAATAACAAACATGCACTCCTCTAAGCAGCTGGTTGAGGATCTGAAAATAAAGATAATTTATGCCTACAAAGCAAAGGAAGGCTACAAAAACGTATTTAAGTGCTTCCAGCAAACAATTTCTACTATCTGAAATACTGTTAAGAAATGGCAGTTAAGGGGAACCATTAAAGTTAAAGAAAGATCTGGTGGAACAAGAAAATTCTCAGATAGAACATCTTGTATGCTGGCCAGAAAGGCAAAGCAAAACACCCATATGACAGCAAAGGACCTGAAGGAAGTTTTAGCTGACATAGTGGTGGTGCACCCTTCTACCGTGCAACATTGCTTGCGCAAAACTGATCTGCATGGAAGAGTCATCATAAGAAAACCTTACCTGTGACCTTAACACAAAAGTCAGCTTCTAAAGTGTGCAAAACAACATGTAGATGAGGAAATAATGCGGTAGACTGATGAAGTAAAAATGGAACTCTTTGGCCGCAATCACCAAAAGTATATTTGGATCAAAAAACTACAACAGCATTGGGTGAAAATAACACCTTGCTAACACAAGGTTGTGCAGCAGCCAGTGACACCGGAAGCATTGCATTAGTGGATGGAAGAATGGATTTTACAAAAAATCAGCAAATCCTGGAAATGTGACACAGTCAAGCAATAAACTAAAGCTGAAAAGAAGCTGGCTTCTACAACAGGACAGTGATCCAAAACATACCTCAAAATCCACCATGAACTACTTTAGGAAACACAACCAGAAACTTTGGGAATAGCCCTCAGAGTCCCATGACTCTGTATCCCTCTTGAGATTTGTAGGTAGATCTTAAACATGCTGTGCATGTGAGACAGCCCGAAATATTGCAGAACTACAAACATTTAAGGAAGAGTGGGTGAAAATTAAAGTAGAAAGACTCCTAGATGGCTAAAAAAAATCCAGAGTAAGTGTTACTAAGCACTGACTTAGTACAGTGTCCTTACTGTTCCATATGCTCAATTACAATTATTTTTTTTTTTCATTTTTCTAAGATCATCAAATATAAAGTAAATTGTGCATTAACCTTTTCAGAAAAAAATGTCATTTTTTATAATAGTTTGATGCAGGGTTGTGTTTACTTCCTTTAAATAAAAACATCAACAAAATATGTAATTTGGCCATGGTGCCCAAACTGTTGCATGCAATTGTATAATTATTGCCTTTACAAGACTATGGTGGAAGAAAACCCAATGCACAGCAGATTAAAAACACACTGCAATATCGCAAAACATATTCATTAAAATGACAACACATGCACTACATTTTACTACGGATTGGTATTCCAGGTCCAAAAAGTAAACATCCTCTCCAGGATTTTGTTCTCTAGTTTGCTGAAATCAGCAGCAAAGATGTTCAGGGAGTTGGAACAAAATCTTGGGGAGTGTTTTTACTTTCTGGACTTACCTTCCTCTACATTTTACACTTGCACTACGTTTAATAAACACATTACAAATTGATACATGCAATGCAAATACAGAAAATAAATGCAACTTTAGAAATGCTGCAGACCCACTTACAACATAATGGAAGCGAGCAACAACACAATGGAAGTGCTGTTTCCAGTGGACACTGAAAAGAATGGACCCATATGAAACTACGCCATATTTACCCAGAACTGGCGCCAAGCAACGGCAGCCTGTCTAGTGAGAAGTAAGTTATATTTGCTAACTATGAATACCATGATTTTATCATAGGTATATAATTTGGAATGACAAAGTACATTTACTGTGCTTCGCGTAAGACAAATAACCCATTCAACATAATGAGAAACTGTAGTACGCAACTATTATCACAGTAATCACATTTAGAGTAGTTTTTACCACAGTAACTACATTTAGACTACATGTTTACTTGTCAGCTCTGCAGAGTGGTATAATTATATAAATATGTAAATATGTATAAATATACACTATATGGCCAAAGGTATGTAGACACATATACATTGCACCCATATGAGCTTGTTGAAGATCCCATTCTGAAACCATGGGGATTAATATGGAGTTGCCACCCCTTTGCAGCTATGACAGCCTCCCCTATTCTGGGAAGGCTTTACATTTTGGAATGTGTCTGTGGGAATTTGTGCCCATTCTGTCCAAAGAGTATTTGTGAGATCAGGCACTGATGTTCTCAATTGATGTTCTGGTTCATCCCAAAGGTGTTCAGTTATATTGTGGTCAGGGCTTTGTGCAGGCCACTGGTGTTCCTCCACACCACACTTGTCCAAACATGTCTATATAGAACTCACTTTGTGCACAGGGGTGCAGTCATGCTAGAACAGGAAAAGACCTTCCCCAAACTGTTGCCATATAGTTGGAAGCATGTAATTGTCTAAAATCTCTTTGTGTGTTGTAACATTATCGTTACCCTTCACTGGAACTAAGGAGCCAAACTCTGACAGCCCCAGACCATTATACCTCCTCGTCCAAACTTTACTGTTGGCACATCTGCCCAATTCAGATTTGTCCAGCAGACTGCCATATAGTGAGGCGTGATGCATCACTTCAGAGAACACATTTCCACTGCTCCACAGTCCAAAGGTGGCATGCTTTACACCATTTCAGGCGACACTTGCATTTTGATCTTAGGCTTGTGTGCGGCTGCTCAGCCATGGAAACCCATTTCATGAAGCTCTCAATGCGCAGTTTTTTTGCTGATGTTGCTTCCAGAGGCAGTTTGGAGATCTGTGGTGAGTGATGCAACAAAGGATAGGCACTGTGCGCGTCAGCACTCGGCAGCCCTACTCTGTGAGTTTGCGTGGTCTGCTGCTTCGTGGCTAAGCTGTCGTTGCTTCTAGGCTCTTCTGTTTCACCACCAAAGCACTTACAGTTGACTGGGGCATATCTAGCAGGACAGAAATTTCTCAAACTGCCTTATTACAAAGGTGGCATCCTGTGGTATTGCCACATTTAAAGTCATTGTATTCTTCAGCACAACCCATTCTAATGTTTGTCTATTGAGATTGCAAGGCTATATGCCTAATCTTATCCATCTGTTAGCAATGGGGGTGGCTGAAATACCTGAACTCAATAACTATGAGTGGTGTCCACATGTTTTTGGCTGTATAGTGTATGAATAAATATGTAGGCAGTTATCATACTCAGGTATACAACGGGTCAGATTGATAACTTATGTTGTGAATATAGATTTTGACAGATTCACACTTCCGAGTAACACATGCAGGCTGTTTAGTAAGCTGACAAATGCAGATAGAAGGTCAGGTTAGCTTATGGGTGTACTGCAGTTTACCTTTCTTTCCTTTGTCTCCTGCCAGGCTATGTTTTTCTTTTTTGTGGAATTGTTTTAAAGACGTACTAGATAATTTTGTGCTGAATATCAAGCATGCTTTTTTATAGTTACTTCATTGGAAAGAACTCCTACAGGTCAAATGTTAACTTTGCTTTTCAGAAATAATTGACTCTAATGTGCCCATGTCTTGACTAATTATAAATAAGTTCTTGCTTAAGATGGTGATTGGTGAATATTTTTTCAGTGCTGTGGTACAAAAGTAGTTCATTGGAATGTGTCTTTATTCCACCACTATGCGTCAGTTCTGGATGGAGCTTTTCAGTGATTTGAAGGAGAGGTGTCTCTTCAGTGGCAGCTATGAACATGTTTGCTGCGGCACAGCTTCTTGGAAGTTCCTGCTGAAAGAACTTGACAAATACAAACAGTAGTGGAATACTGTGTACCACCTGCCTCACTGGTAGGCATTGCATTACTATGTTCATACTGAAAGATAACCTCATTTTCATTTAAACTGTAAATTTCATTATTTATATTATGCTACTGTGTTTTTTGACTGACTCCTAGGTTCAGTGAAAGGAGTTGTGGATTCACTGTGTCTGCAGTTGCCTTTAATTACTTTGACACTCTTGTGCCAGCTCGTGGAGGTCCTTTTCAGTGATAATGATCTCAAAATTGTTTTGAGGATCTGCAGAGACAAAGTGGGCTACCTCTACCAGTCAGCTGAACTATGGCTGTGGAGATGTACATCACACTGAAAAATTTGTCTGGACTTGAAGGTACAGAGTTGAACAATAACACATTTGTTGGCACAGGTTGTTCCTCAAAATATAAATGTATTTTTAGATCTCAAGGATGAAATACTTTAAACGGTCATAGCACTGCAATTTTCTCCAACATAAATCACCACTTTTACAAGTGTTTTCCACAAAATTGGGATAAAATTAAAATGATGAAAATTTAAGACAAGGCAATTACAACCTTTCATATTAAACTATAGAGAGGCATACACATCCTAGTGCTAAAAAATAAATACAAAATAAAACAAATGTACGTCTGCATATTATTAAGAACGACAAAATGTGTAAAAGGTAAACAACAATAATTCTTCTGAGTAACAGCTAAGTCAATTATTTCTGAAACTTTAAAGTGAAACATTAGTCTCCTAACAGAGCTTGGCTTTAGGGAAGGTCAAACCCAGGAGAATTCTATGTTCTGTAGTCATGTCTTCTTGAAAGTCCTCGTAGCTGAGTGAGATTTGGAGTTTAATTGTGTTTGCACAGGTACTTGCCAAAGGAAAGCATGAGCTTGACTCAAACATTAGCTGTGGCTAGTTTTGAAACAGTGGTTTTGCTGTAAACCACAGTAAAATTCAGTTAGTATTACTGAATCAGATTTTATACATCATGAAAACCGTGGTCGATTACCACACTTTGCAAAACTGACTAAATACTATCCAGCATCAACCAAAGTTAGCAACAGTCTCCCAGACAAAGGCGCAGCACGCAACTTGTGTTTGTGTAGTGTTTTATTACTGCCAGGAAGGACAAAGTCCTTCAAAGACTAGAATTAAGTAATTAATTGCTAGGAGCCTGTTCATATCAATAGTCGTACATGAAACACCTTGTACTCATAGCAAATAATCTGTCCAGTAGCCGAGTACTGTGATCTCCTCATGTCGCTAGTTGCTTCCAGGAATGCTAAGACTGGTCTGAGTATAGCTCATGAAAAACTGTAAGAGTGACGGATACTGTTCCAGAGAACTGTCAACATCAAGTGTTGCTAGTCCCACCTTAAATCTAGAAAACGTGTCAATCAGCATGGTAACCTATATTCTGTACACTTCAAAAACATTTTGCAGTTATGAAGTACTGAATCAGATACATTAAATATATTATATAAAATACACATTAAAAAACTGCTAAAAATGTGGTGTTAATTTTTGTGCAATGAAGTTTAAATTTAGCCAAGCCGAATCCTTAAAGCAGTAGTTACAGTTCAGAATTTTCTATTATGCTATTCACTGTTATTTGTGCTGTGTAATGTGTTTGGTCATTTTTGAGTACACACAGAAGTAATGTGATACTCATTTAACTGAATGGCCATGGCAGTGTTAAAGTTATCATTAGTCCACCCATGCAAATCTCTCCCCACATCTAAAACAAAGAATATAAATATGCAGATTGTTACACCTCTTTGAGGGACAGAGCAAAAAGCACATGATCTCAGTTTGATTTCCTACAATGAACCCCTCAACATACACCCAGTTTTCCTTGGGGTCTATACTGTGAGCCCAAATAAGTTCACATAATTTAAAAAAATTGAGGTAACCTGTTGGCCTAAAAAATCAAGTTAAGCATTGGTGAACAAACCAGCAAATTTAAGTTCAATGTACTTAAGATACTAAACACTGCATGTAAGAAAAACTAAAGTTTCTGTGTTAGATTAACATAATTTGAATTATTTTAACTTTTTGTGTTAGTCAAATGTAAAATCCCAGTTTTATTACACATTTCATTAGGTAAGAAACCTTTTCTGATTAAGTGGTATTGACCACTTTGCCAAACACTTAAGGGTTAACCCTTAGTGTGAACATCGTCACCCGCCAGCATTGACCCACATTCACCAACAAAGAGAACGACAAATCAACAACACAAGGTCAGGCGGTTGAGTAAAACATATATAAAAAGCATACACCTGAGCAAAGAGCCTAGGTGGAATGAAAACATGTTGGCGGTGAGTAAAACAAATGAAAAGAAACACCCAATATGCAAATGGATGGAGCCAGGAGCCAATGGGAAAGAAAGAAGTTTTCCCCAGCAAGATCATGTTAACAAAACAAACATGTCGCTGTATTTCACTTAAACAACACAGTTTGCTGAGTTTCACTCAGTTATACACATTTGTTGAGCAACCTTAATGAGAAAGAAATGATTAAAACCAACGGTGGTACAGTTTTGTTTTTGAATGTGGCAGTTTCACAGCTGCAGTGGCAACAGACTAAATTCAATTGCAATAAGTTGAACTCAAAAATGTCATTTGATTGTGAGAAATGATCAAAAACATTCCCTTAACTTACAATAGTTGAGTAATATATGTGATATGTTCAGTTTTATGTGCAACAGACTTAATTTATTTGAGTTAAAACAATATGTGTGATTACAGGCTAGTGTATGTAGAGAAAACAAAACCTGTAATTGTAATATGATTATTGTGCTGTACACACAGATTACAAGGAAAAGCCCATCTGACCAACAAAAACGCCTTTGATAGGAGACTTGTTGGACTTCACTTTACCAGTGAGGTATTGGAAGAGATTTGGGGAAAGACACTAATGCACTGGACCACCATGGCTTACGGACATTGCAATCATTCTTCCTATAGGGAAGTATTCATCTTCTTCTGCAGCTGAAGATGTAAATATATTAAAGTAATGCATATTAATACCACTTCGCCAGCAGCATGATTAAAATGTTGTTGCCTGTTGAATTCAAAGTACTTTGTAGAGTCTCTTCTTTCAAAAACAAGCAGTGTAAGAAATTTACTCCTGTATCTGTAGCCTCTTCTGTCTGCCCACCATCATCAGAGAATTTTACCAGCAAGTCATAAGATGGGTTGTAGATCTCTTAAATGCTTGGATGGGTCAATCCCACACATTTGCTCTGTTAAATATGATTAATATACTGTAGGAGGTTTTTTCTTTCTTTGGAGAGACTGACTGGACACCACATTCGCAGTGGCTCTCTGTCCCTTACTGTAAATTTACCAGGTGGACAGACAAAGAATTAAGTGTTTTATCATGATCAAAAATAGCTCAAGTAGTGATTTGACTGTTAGGGCAAAACTAGAAAGGCTGCTGGTTATAGACAGCAATTCTTATAGACTATTAATCCTGTATATTTATTTCGGCCTAATGCTCACTGTAACTTTGTGACCCGCAGAATAGTGTAGTGATGAACTTCTGGATCTACAGTAAAAGGGCTTACCCTGTCATCTGCTTTGGCAATGAATAAATTGGGAAGAAAAAAATAAAAATACAATCAAACTCACTTGTAGAAGCTGTGTGGGGCGAGCTGCACTGAGGTCACCATTTCTTGGGCTCTAACAGTACTTGTTGTTGCATAGAAAGCAATGAGCATTACAACATAACAAATTATCTATGGCATGATATTGATAAAATAATAATGCATGTTTCCTGGCCTAAAGATTAGGATGTTGTAGCTGATTTGAAAAATAAAAATGTGTTAATTTTAACTGGTAAAATGTTTACTCAGATAAGCATTATTAACAGGTTATGGTAAAATACAGTTAGATAATGAAAAGTAAAACATAGTGTGCTGATTCCTATTAATATGCTGGATAACCTGATATAGAGACAGATGCAGTGCATTGTCAGGAATTTAACTTACTCATCTCCACTCTGAGGTGTACTGCTTTCAGGATCTGTCCCAATCTGTAAAGCACAACCAGCAGATTACAGAACCAAAACATTTGCGTAAAACAGCTGACACATTGGCCAAATACCATACCATACGTAGCCTTCTGTTTCAATAAATATGTCCCCAGAATACTTACAACACTAATCACTTACCTAACACTATAGCATTTAAAATATATTTTACACAACAAAGTACAAGAGGTCTGTCTACAATAGAAATATTATTGTAATTACTTACACAAGAAAGTATCAAGGGTGCATATATACAGTGTGATGCGTTGGTATGCCTTTCCAGTAGCACCTGTGTAACGCTTTATTGTAAAAGGCATTTCACAAACACTGCCACTCAGTAATATCTTCCGTAAGGTTTGTCGGACCCTAGAGGGCGCTCCTGAGTAAGTCCAGATTGACTGGGTTTTATGGAGGTTTGTGCAAAATCAGTTTTTTTAATGTTTAATCATTTTTTATGTATAAAAGTGCACAAATTTTCTAAATAAAATAGCATAAAACATTTCAGTATTGCTGTTGTAGTTTGAGTGCTTTTAACTTCAGTTATAGGACTTTTTATTTACTTCCTGTGTATTCATAATGTCAGTGAGAGCAAAGCATTTACTCAGGCTGTGTTGTGAGTGGGTTTGCAGCATTTCTGAAGTTGCATTTGTTTTCTGTATTCACATTGTGTCTATTAATTTGGAGCACATTTGTTAAATGTAGCACGTGTTGTCATTTTTATTAAAATCTTTTCTGGATGTGTATAGTGTTCTTGAATTTGCAATGTGTTTTTACAATGTAGCACGTTTGTGTTGTCATTTTGATGGATGTTCTGTAATTTTGCTGTGTGTTTTTTTTTTTAGCGAGTTGGGTTTCCTAGGCCACCATAAAAGAACACCTAAAGAACAATTTTAACTGACTAAGTGAATAAAACTTTCCCAGCTTACTGGATATTTGGGTGTTTCACCAACTATTTGTACATTTGTTGGGTCATTAGCAACCAGGTACTTGTAGCTAGCACAAATTGTTTTCTGCACTGCCAGGATAGTGTAAACATTTTTACTGACAATAATAAAATAATAAAATCTTTTTATATTTATATATTTCGTTTGTCTCTTATGACAAACTGTGACTGGGCCTCACAGTGTTATGGGCACTAATGTCAACCGGACCCCCTAATATCTTTATTAGTCTGCTTATATTGATACATACACACTTCTATACCTATGACTCATGGGCAACTACAAGAACTTCATAATATAGTCCAGTAGACCTGTGTTTGAACTCCAGTTTGACTGAGATACAGCAACAGTGAGTTCATCTTTTTCTTTATAAACTGAGGCAATTTTCATTTTTGAGAGCATTATTTTTTTTTGCACCAGGGCCTATAATGTCCTAGGAACACCTCTGGGTTAAGGCTTTACATTGTGTAGTTGTACAGACATGTCCTCTGACTGTCAGTGTCTTCTTTCTACAGCACTGTGTTTGGAGGCTCCTGTGCGAGCAGGCAGTCAGGCCGAAAATGAGATGAATCTGAAGTCTCAGGCGTTTCATCACGCCTCTGCGGCTTTGCCTGCATCTCTCATCCTGGCTGTAGTCTTGGCGCTGGTCGTGTTTGCTCTGGTGCGGGCTCGTGCCAGGAAGAGGCTGTGCTGGAGGCGGAGCTATGAGAGACTGAGCGGGGCTGCCAGGCCGGACCCCCGGCCCATGCCCCACGGCGTCCCTGAGCCAGAGGACAGCGGGGACGAGGCAGACGTGGTGTACACCTGCCGGGACGGATCCGTCTACCGCCGCTGCAGCTTCATCCATGAGCCTGACACAGAGGAAGAGGAGGGTGAGGAAGAGGAGGAGGCCACTGAGAACACACACCTCAACAGAGCCTAGTGGGAGCTCACACACTGAAGTACTGTTGGCACTCCCTACAAGACTGCGCTTGAGACAAAACAGCCTGGATTGGAAAATGGACACTTTTTTAAAATCCCCATCAATCCAAACTGTAATCTTTGTTGCTTTTTTGTATTCTTAATTCACTTTTTGTTTGTAGACAATTGCTTTTTATAAGCAGAATACAGATACTTTTATTGTAGCATATCTAGTATATGTATGACACAGCACCTGTTTTTATGTTTAAAGTAGTGTAGTTTGTTTTAACACAGTGTAGATTGGAATATAAAGATTATATTTTGTAAATAAAGAACTGTATTCAATTAATTGTATTAAACAGTGCCATTCTTTATGCATATTCTGAGAATCTATTGATTTAAATGCAGCGAATTTCAGCTAACAAATTGCATAGCACTCTTTGGAGGTGTTTCCTTGTGTGAATTTTATGTAATTATGATTGATTAGTTTCCTTTAAGAACTGTTGTTTTTCTTGAAAGAAAAAAAAGAAAAAGGTTTGTAAAATATCAGTTAAAGGGCCAGTTTCCGTCATATTTGTTGTATTTAGTTTTTTGTATTCAGTCCACTTATCTGTGTGTTTTTATGTACCAAAAACAGATAGAATTATTTTTTAGTTAATTATATTCCAACATTCCTTTATCCCTATACCTATTTATGTATTTGCCACATGGACCATTCTGCCAAACTAGTTCAAACGTACTAAAAATGTTTGAAATTGAATGATTTACATTTATTATGAGTTTAATTTTTAAATGAAAAAACTTTTTTTTTAAAAAATGCTCATCCATTTTTTTCATGTCAATACTGAAACAGAGTTTTACTCCATAGGCAGAGATTTATTTTAGCCATACCCTGCGTTTTAGAGTAGTCTGCATCCTGGCCACATGGTGAGCAGTTAGATCTCATTCTTTTGAGGTGAATATGTCCCAAATTCTGAAAATCAGTGTTTAACATTAGGAACTGTCACTACTGTAACACATTTTTTGCAATTATGTACACATATTTTTGTGTTTTAATTAAAAAATATGATTTTATATGTGTGCAACTGCTCAAAGCTGTGCTTGCTAGTCATGCACTGGCTAGTGTTTTGGAGTTACGTGCAAAAATAGCTTAAATTGTTACAACCAAAACACTTGTTTCAGTAGTGTTACAGTATTTTGTCAGTGACAAAATCAAAGCACTTTGATTAAAAGGATTCTGGTCTAAAGTCCAAGTTGAAAGTCCAAATTGTGTTTTCACCTCTGGCTGCTTTGAACCAGTTTGGTAGAATAATCACTATATGTAAATGTCCTCTGTTCTGAGTGGCCACCTTGTATTGTGCCTTATTAAAAAGCAGTCTGGGCTGACAATTAAACATGAATGTGCACACTAAACTGCTGTAGTCTGAATAGGCAGACATAATTAAAGTAGTTGTTTCTCATGACATCACAAACACATTAATTCAAAATGGGCTGTTATTACAGAATAGTTTCTGTATATGGACTGTATGTACTGGGAAGGGAATGGTATATTTTGATACAATGTTTTTATGCTACATCAAACTTTTATATCGTCACTGTCCAAAGAAAGCCATGTATCCATTTTTGTCAATTTTTAGTTTTCTACATCATTTCAAACTACCAGGTGTCCTTTATGTTGTGTAAAAATTTCATGATGAATGCACCAACAGAAATGCTCTAAAATCACTTACAATCTCTGTACATTGGCTTATATTGAAAGGTAAGAGTGTTTTTGCCTTCTCCTGTAAAATTACTGTTTTGGAGATACTTGTTTTTCTTTGGACAGCGACAATATTTAAAAAGTGAAGTCAATTTGTTTTTCCATGATATGGGTCCTTCAATATTTTATAATATAGTAGCAACTAAATACAATTGCATGTGACTACCTACTTTAGCTGGTTTCATATTGTGATTAACATTTTGATCTGTTAAATTTGTATGACTATAACATTTTGTGAGAATTCCACAGCACCAGTCCTACACACTATGCAGACACCTCTTAAAAACTCACCAGCATGTGTAGTAGATATTATATTTGTGTTAATCTACAGACATTTTTTGGAATAGTCCAGAAAACTAGTCTACTGGTCAAGCAGACAATAATGCCATCAAGCAGGTAATAGCATATAAACAGTCCTTTCAAATCGTCTCAAAATATCAACTGATTATTTTTGAAATGTGTGTTTTTAAATGGGTATTCCTGAGAAGTGACTTTGATAATAAAAAACTTTTTGGGGGTTTTGGAGTCTTTTCGGGTTCTGTACAATTCAACAGCAGAACTTGAAATGCTTTCTTTTATGACTTCAGAGTTTTTGTGACGTAAAAGCTCTGACAGCTTTTGTTTAAAGGCCGCTGTGATAGGAACAGGTATGCTGTTTTACAGAACTAATAGTGCAATGTTGATTTAAGGTGCGGAGATCAGGGCAAGGACTGGCCTCACCCTATGTTCAGTTAGCAAAGAAACTCATTATCATCCATACCGAGGGTAAAATCTCACTTCTGGCCATGTGAAGAATAAAATAAAGAAAAATGTCTTTTTTTAGTATTCAAAAATAAGAAAAAAACAAAAATCTGTCAGGATGTTGTACAATTACAATCATAGAAAAAAAGCATCATTGGGAAAAACTGAACTTAAGTGAAAGTGTGAGTATTGTGTCAAAATTGTAAAAGTGGCATGTAGAGCCAAAATGTATTTTAAGGGAAAACTATAAAGTATTTACATTTAAACATACTCAGGTATATAAAGGTAAAACATGGTTCAGTGACTAATCAGCAATACTAGTTTTACACAAAGATAAGTTAGCCTAGGTATGGGTAGATAACTTGGAAAAGGATTTGGTGGGACCTTTTAGTAAAAACAATAAATAAATGGGGAATCCCGCCAATTTTTCAAAATCTTCAAAATTATCAAAAATTTTCTTTGGGGACTATTTTGCTTCACGTCCTGCATGCACCTCTCCATCGTGAATGTTTTTAATAATAGATTTAAGGCCAAAATCATGCAAACAATGTCTTAGGCATCTGAGAAGGAGCTTTTAGAGGCGTTGAACGATTCAGACGTCTGGTTCCTATCACCACCAGTGCGAACAATTCTGACTGAGTAAGTTTCCTTAGAACAAAGCATTTCACATCAAACCACTCTGAATGACTTTATTTACATCTTAACATTTTAATTATGCAGAAATTTTGAAAAATGTGGTGGAATCCCCCTTTAAGACGTGCAGGAACTCAACTGATTGGCAAGAGAAAATGTGCTGGCCTTTGACATTTGCAACATATACTGTGAAAGACTAAACGAAAATGTAAGGAGTATAAAGTCTGTATTTTCTCTTAGAAATGTAAACGAGTAAAAATACAAATACTCAGTTTCAATGATACTTGTATTAAGTACGAATATTCCAAAATAATATTTTCGTATAGTACCAATGAGTACAATAACTCAGTTACTTGAGTACAATTACTCAAGTATTTTCCACTCCTGATCATTTAAGCTATAAATCTTAGTTTTATCATAGTATGGAAATCAAATAGGGATTACAGTATTCCATAATTTCATTGAGACATGATGATGAGTTGTCACTGCTAAAGTGTCTACGAGCATTTCCAGTATCTACATCTGTCTTTTTTCATAATTCCTTTTGTACATAGTTGCTGAACATGCAGCCCTTTCTTTTTCTTAGACAAATATACTTTCATTTCTTCAAAAACCTCCACCGTGTGTACATTAACCACGTCATTTCATTCAGGCCACCCCTCCTGTAGGCAAACAGCCTACTATCAGTTATCACTTCCCTCTCCCGTTATTTAGCGCTGAACAGCTTTCTGTAGTGTCACACTCACTGGTGGCACCCACAGGTCTCCTGATATGACTCTGACTGCTGAACACTGAGACACATTTGAGCGTGGCTAAGAAATGGCCTATAACAAAAAAAGTATTCTGAGGAATATCTCCTTCATCTTTGTTACTTTGTCAGTCACTTACCTTGTAATGAATGGTTCAAGAAAAAAATGCAATCAGAGTGGTCGACTGGACATGGCACACTTAATAAAGCAGGACGTCGGGGAATTACAAGCTTGCTCGGCTATCATCCAAGCAGACATGGATGGAGTGCAATCGTCGCATTTCAGCAAGCTCATGGCTTCAAAGAAAAGAACATCACTTTTATCAGAGTCCTTCTACCTAAACGCAACTAAGGACTGCCAAGCTTACATCAGCGACAGAGGGTTTCTAACCATTCCTCTGAGCAAGGAGGAGAGAGATTTCCCCATTGCTTACTCCATGGTGATCCATGAGAAGATTGAAATGTTTGAGAGGCTCCTGCGAGCAATTTATTCTCCACAGAATGTGTACTGCATTCACGTGGACCTGAAGACACCTGACATCTTCAAGGAGGCTGTAAAGGCTATTGTGTCATGCTTTCCCAACGTGTTTGTGGCCAGTAAACTGGAGAGAGTGATCTATGCCTCCTGGTCTCGAGTTCAAGCCGACCTCAACTGCATGCAGGACCTTCTCAAGTCTCCGGTCCAGTGGAGGTATCTGCTCAACACCTGCGGTGCGGATTTCCCCATCAAAACCAATGCAGAGATGGTTCAGACTCTGAAACTTCTCAATGGAAAGAACAGTTTGGAGTCAGAGGCCACAAACGGCTACAAAAAAGGACGCTGGGAATACCATCATAATGTCACGACTGATGTTACTCGGACAGGCATTAAAAAGACCCCTCCACCCATCAGAACCCCCATGTTCTCTGGGAACGCTTACTTTGTTGTCTCACGAGAGTTTGTGGAGTATCTATTCCAGAGTCAGGAGATCCTGAACTTTATGGAATGGGAGAAGGACACATACAGTCCAGATGAACACATGTGGGCTACACTACAGCGGATGCCCAACGTGCCAGGATCCAACCCACACAACGAAAAATATCATGAGTCTGACATGCTGGCAATTGCAAGACTGGTGAAGTGGAGCTATCTAGAAGGAGACGTGAGCAAAGGAGCACCATACCCACCGTGCAGTGGAGCACACAGACATGCAGTGTGTGTTTACGGCGCAGGGGACCTGAAATGGATCGTGAACCAGAAACATCTTATTGCTAACAAGTTTGACCCAGGGGTGGACGATATTGCTATAAAATGCTTGGAGGCCTTTTTAAGGTACAAAGCTATTCATGGTCAGTCATTACTCACCGTTGAAAAAGCAAATATAAAAAAGTGAACTGTTCATAATAAATTATTTGGAGAATTCTATGGGTCTGTACATTTTAGATGTTTTACATACAACATATATTTATATGTAGAATCTTTTAAAAACATTTTTCTACTGTTCATGGATCGTAGATCAGATGGTAGACTGAGTGTCACTCTGAACCCTAATAGTTACAAGAGTCATAACACCGTAAAAATAACCATGCTGGAGTCTGTGATGTCAATTTACAGTAAAGTCCAGTATTTCATACTGTAAAATAAGCTGTTTATACAAGAAGCTTATAGAGCAAAGGTGTTTTTCATCAGCAGAGTTTACAAATGTTTAAAGCTCTTTGTTCTTTGTCTTATTTGTCCATGAACAGAATAAAAAATACTGTGTATTATCTTCAGGTTTTCTTGACTCTTCTCATTTTGCATTAGCCAGGTGACCCAGCCTGCTAAAAAAGTCATTGTG